TGAGAAACTGCATCATTTTGAAAGAATCTCTTGGGGGAGCAGCAGCTCCCTTTGTCTCTCCCCTCTACCTGCCTACGAGCCTGTGTACTTAACCTCTCTAATGTTCATGATCAATACAAAATGTAAAATTTTCACATTTTTCATATTTCTACTATTCATATTGACCAATCCCCATTCATGTCATTTTAACAGGTCCTTAATCCCTTGTTTTCTAGTCATATGTGCTTTTATTATTCAGTTTCACAATCTATTGTTTTGCCATGCCAGTTTTACATGTTTGCATGCTGAGTTTGTTTTATGTAATGTTTTTTGTTCCTTATATGGTTTACACATTCACTCAGTTGAGTTGGGGTGTTGCCCCATTACTAGTTAATGTTGCCTAGAGTTTGTGACTACATCCACAAAGTATTTCAAATATATATTTTAGAAAACATTTTATATTTGATTCCCACCCAAGGGTCTTCCACTCACCCATTAACATAGACAAAACATGAACTCTAATAAAAATGCCAACAAGACTGCAAGGGAAACTAAATCTATGAATTGGACTTTGCCATATCACATGTATTAGTCCCGTGACCAGGGAGGGGGAGGAGGGGGGTTGAGAGACGACCCTCTCCCCTAGGCACATTTTCTGTCAACATCCTGCAATTTTTCACCACTTTAGTACTTTTCAAGTGATGTTCGGATGATGCTTTCATTTAATTGCTTGCACTGATGGTTTCTCTTGAAAATTCATGCACATAAGGTGATCTAGTATTTCAACACAGGACCCTGAAAGCGTTATTTGAGCTTGAAGTAGAAGTATTCATAGTATTACTGTTTGTATTATTAATCTCTATGATTTTTCAATAGGCTAACTCAGTCAGTGAATGCAGGATTAAAACACAACACACATGAGTAATTCACCCACCTATGCATGTTATTATTGAAAAACATTGCCATCTTTTACATCACTCCTAAATTATTTTTGTAAACTTGCATTTTAAGAGGTTCATTTTTTCAAAAAAAACTCAAAAAAAACTTCATGGAGTTCCTTACATATTTTACTTGATGAAACATGTGTTCAAGTACAATGTAACTTTGCATGAAAAATTGTAAAAAAAATGAGGGACGATGGTGAAAATGACGAATGTATTTTGAAAAAGCTTGTTGATGGGTGGATTAAACATGGATTATAAGATAATCCAATTGATCTGGAAACTATTCTTTGAACTTTTCTTGAAGATTATAGATTTGCCTTTCCCAAGCATTTACTTTTTACAGCCAGAAACTACTCACCAAAAAATTATCAATTGTCAAAATTATCAAAAGTCTGTTGCGATACTTTCCCTGCTCCTTTATTTCGGGTTCTAAAATATTTTACTCTAAGGAGTTTAGAAAAGAAGCTGGACGAATTTATAAAATTTTGAAAAACTGAGAATAAGCAAAAATTATTAGCTGTGAAAAAATGGGAAATAAAGTAGCGTTAAATATTAGTTGGGAAATAGTACATGTATTGTTCTTCTGAATCGTGCCTCAGAAAATTCAAAATGGCTGCCTATAGAGTGGGGATTCACTATAATTTAAAGATATCTTCAAAGTTGGCTTACATTGAGTTAAAATAGGTCAAACATATTGTATTGTCTTAATGTTAATGATTTGTGCCTTTGATACACCTAAATGGTCACCCAAATAGTTAAAGGATGGGTATCGATATGGCGAACTTTTTGAACACACGTTTCTCTTAAACCAGTCATCAAAAAATTCTGAAAATTTTACACAGTGTCAATTTAATGGTAATTTGAAAAATATATATATATACTTTCATCTATATTGTTCTAGAAAACACATCAAACACTTGTTTTGTTCTTGGTATCATGTTTCCAGAGTGAAATGAAACATCTTTCCGAACCTCATTGGAACAAAATGACATAAACACAACATGTTTAGGTCTCTCAATATTGTAATTATACAAAGGAAATTTTGGTTGATTTTAAAAAAGTATCTTGTTAATGAAATAAAAGGTTTATCTTGATTTTTATCTATTTTGGGAGGATTTTGTTTTAATTTTTTGATTATTTTTTTTAAATCAACCAAAAATTCCTTTGTATAACTATAATATTGAGAAGTCTAAAAACGTGTCGTATATGCTATTTTGTTCCAACAAGGTTCGAAAAGACATTTTATTTCATTCTCAAGAATTGGTACAAAGGAGCAAAAACAATTGCACTGAAAAAACAAAAAATGTTAACAAAAACAGTTATTTCAAATATTTGTATATAATTTTCGCATTAAATTGTTGTTAATCAGTCAACATTACATAAAATACCGTGTTCTCTCACAGAATATTTTCAATGATTGGTTTAAGAGAAAAACATTGTTGAATTCAGTTCTCCATATCGATACCAATCCTTTATGGAAATTCTGATATATCTTCAATGTCTCTCTGCAGATCAAAGTAGAGTATATGGTAAATATTATATCATACATATACAGATTCATGAATATTTTTTTTTCGTTGCGATTTGCTACTCCGTTTGGTTGCCATTTTCTAGTTTCTCATGATAGGAATTCTGTCTAGTCCTTTTTGTGAAATATTACTTATGTCACAGTAAACTTGTTTATTATAATGTGTATAGGTATTTAAGGTAATATGACGTATGTATCTTACAAAACTAAATTATTCAATGTCGTCGAGCCCAAAGTGACTTTTCAAGACAAGACATTCACATCATTTTATTTTATTCAAAGGGTAACTCAAAATGATTCAATAATGCCCTTCAACTATTCAAGCACTCAGGTTTTGAACTGATTTCATAATGTTCATGTAGGGTATACCCACAGGGAATCGTATGGAGGGTCGGGCACAACCCTCCCCAACCTCTAAAGACTTCTCCTTTAATAAGGGAACCCGAAAAGTGAAATGTCTAGAAAAATAAAAAAAATTATTTTAAGCTAAAAATAAGTCGAATCATTAGTATAAGCCACGCACACATTCAACATATAGAATTAGTGAGGGAAAAAAATAATGGAAGCAATCCGTTGACTAGTTGCTCAGAAATGTAGACAGATTCTTCGAAATGATGGAAATCGACGTTTTTACGAATTTTATCCGCGTTAAATGAAATACATTTCAGTCTATTTCTTTCTTATATACACTCACCATTAAAAATTGTTACTTCACGGGGTACTTCCTTTACGTGGCTTCCCTATGGTTACACGTTTATCACGAATTGCATCTCAGAACGACTGCCACTCGTGGATATGTGTCGAAATAAAACTTTTCTGAAATATTTTGAACAAATATTGCCGGCAACTCGATGTGAATAATATCTGCATTTTCATTGGCTCAATCCCACTTGCCTGACATCTATAAATAAATATGAAATATAAATGAACGTAATGTGCAAATTACCTAAAATTGCCTGGACGTGATTTTCACCTATTTCAAGACACACAAATATATATTTTGTATTATATAAAATCAAAGTTTCTTTTTAACTAAGCGCCGAATATGTTATTCACGTTTCAAATGTCTCCTTTACATTTATCATTAATTGTTATAACGATTGTCAATGGGCCAATGAAAATGCAGATCTTCATTCATATCTGGTTGCCGGCCGTTATTTATTTAAAATTTTCGACAAAAGTTTCGTTTCGACACAAATCCACGTGTGGCAGTCGTTCTGAGATGTAATTCGTGATAAACGTGTAACCATAGGGAAGCCACGTAAAGGAAGTACCCCGTGAAGTAACAATTTTTAATGGTGAGTGTATATAAGAAAGAAATAGACTGAAATGTATTTCATTTAACGCGGATAAAATTCGTAAAAACGTCGATTTCCATCATGTCGAAGAATCTGTCTACATTTCTGAGCAACTAGTCAACGGATTGCTTCCATTATTTTTTTCCTTTGCTAATTCTATATGTTGAATGTGTATCTAGCTTATAGGAATGATTCGACTTATATTTAGTATAAAATATTTTTTTTTATTTTTCTACACAGGTCAGTTTTCGAGAGCCCTTTTTAAAGAGAAGTAGCCTTAGGAGGTTGGGGAGGGTTCTGCCCGACCCTCCATGCAATCCCCTGTGGGTATACCCTTGAGGAATTACCTAGTTCACTAGGGTATACCCTTAAGGAACAGCTCTTGCAACTACCCTTCAAGTATAAATGAGACATCTAAATGGAATTGCTCCTGAACATTTTAAGAAAGAAAGGATTTTTATATGAGTGTTTTCATAACTGTAGAACTCTTATCAATGACAATTAAAGAATAGGAGTACTTGAATTATTTTCCTGATAAATCCCTCAAATGCAAATGAGACATCTTCAGTCTGTAAATTGGTTTAATTTGACGGCTGTTTTAATTTGGCGGAATAATAAAAACCATCTCCTCCAATTTTTTGAAGATGAAATTCCTGGGGATTTTTGTCCATGTGTTACCTTGTACGATAAAACTATTTACAAAGATCTACAGAGCCCCTGCTGGTTTAGATAAAACAGGACAGATAAAATTGCATTATCAGTTGCGAGCTGTGAAGCGAGCAACACGTTTGATGATGGTTGATCAGCCAAATTAAATAGCAGCCAAAATTTCAAAATTTGTCCAATCTGTTAAATTAAATAGCGCCAAATTAAAGCAATTTACAGTATAGGAATTAGTTCCTGAACATTTTAAAACCAGTTTGTGAATCTTTACATGTGTGTTTTGAGAACCCAAGAACAATCCTGAACATTTTAAGAACAGTTTATGAATCTTTACATGAGTGTTTTAGAATTGCCACTCACCATGTCAAAGGCAAGTTAAGAACTGAAATACTTGAGTTATTGATTTGTATAAATTATAATTATGCAGTGGCGTAGCCAAGATTTGACAGGAGGGGGTTCGAATATTTTCAGCAATTTCTTTTTGAATTTTGTGAAAACTTTTTCGAATTTGCTTAGTCTAGGTATAAATATGAAATTTGTTTTGTACTTTGCACTGTGCATCCATTTTAGTAGTTGTTTGTATTCCAGTCCTCTTATGAAGAGATTATTCAAGTCTCCCAGGGTGATGTTGCAAAGTACACCACATGGCATAGGCAGTCTTGTACCTAATGTTGCTAACGTATCATGGACCAGTTCCCTAGCAACCCCCACCACACTGGAGACATCTATTGGTAATGTAGATTTGATTGATTTTGAACAACATTTAAAATGTCACTGGAATGTCACTGTTTTTTTATTATTTTTTTTATCAAGAGATTTTATTGCCATTAACAGATTAATCATTATCAGTACATATCATATGTGAGGGACCCAGTCGCCAGTGGCATTATATGTGTCCCTCAATGTAGTAATTATAATTTGTAAACATGGGTTATACATAGAAGAAAAATAAAAAAGAAAGCATCTGCATTTTAATTGGAGTGTGGGGGGCTGCTGTCTCTGCCTATATGTCACTGTTCAATATTTAAAGAAATATTATTAAAGGGATGAACTGAATCTTTATGCACTTGTAGAAAAATACCAGGGAATTTTATTCTGAAAAGGACAAGTCTCTGTTTGGAGAATAGTCTCCTGGGCTAATAATATTTTTTATAAATTATGAATACTCCAAAGAGGACATTTAAATCTACACGGTGTAAAAATATCACAATTGTCCGAAGCAGGGGTAATGGTACAGTAAACCGATTTTAATAAAGTACAAGTCTCAATTTGGAGAAAGAAGTTCATCAGTGTAGTGCACTAATAATTTTTTATGAAAAATCTAGAAATATCACCCAAATTAAATTAAGACTATTCAAAAGAAGACATTCAAATCTATGTAAAAAAATCAAATTTGTCCGAAGCAGGGGTTAAAGGCTCAATTAGAGACGTGATGAACTTCGTTCTCCAAACCAAGAATAGCCCTTTGTATATATACAATATACATATATATGCCCTTTGCATGTGTATACATTTGTTTCTTTAATTTCGTGACTGATTGAATGTTTTTTTGTTGTTTTGTGTTTCCAGTACAACAGACTGGTGAAGAATATGACTACGACACAGACAGAAAACAAATAGTGAGTTGTCATACTATTTAGGAAAATCAGCTTTGAGAGTTTTGATAGAAAAACATAGATTTATTCAATTTCATACTTTTCTACAAACATATCTAAACCTTGTATCTACCACACTTTGTTTACTGTTCAGCATTTTAAGCAGAAGGGCGAACATAGCAAGCCAGAGTGAACTCTGTCACTATTTCGCACTGTACTATTTTGCAGTTTGAGGGGTAGTTCATGTTGTATAATCAAATATCTGACTTGGTCTGGTTCATTATCCCACTGAACGAAGTTTGAGCGGGATATAGGAAAGCCGCCTGTCCGTCCATCCGTTATTGTGCCTGGGCAATAACTCAAATACCAGTTGACGGATTAGGTTAAAAGTTTATAGGCTTATGCTTTATGGGTATAGGACCTCTGCTCGAGGTTTCATTATGGCTGCTCAATTCAAAATGGCCACCATTTTTCCTAAAATGTAATGTTTCATAACTCAAATATTTGTTGATGGATTTGGTTCAAATTTAATATGCTGGTACCTAGGGACAAAAGAGCTTTGCTCATTAAGGGATTGTCAAGTTGGCTGCAGAATTTCAAAATGGCCGCCATTTTTTGTAAAAAACACATTCTTTGATAGCTCAAATACCAGTGAATGGATTTGGTTCAAATTTTATATGTTGATGCCTAGGGACAAAGGAACTCTGCTGTAGAAGACATTTTCAAAAAGGCCTCTGAATTTCAAAATGGCCACCATTTTTTGTAAAAAAACATAATCTTTGATAACTCAAACATCAGTGTACAGATATGGTTCAAATTTTATATGATGATGCCTAAAGACAAACAAGCTCTGCTCAAGAAGGAGTTTTCAAGTTGGCAGCATAATTTCAAAATGGCTGCCATTTTCTTTAAAAGAAGTAACAGAAATACTCGTGGATGGATTTGGTTTAAATTTTATATAATGATGCCTAGGGGCAAAGGAGCTCTGCTCAAGAAGAATTGTCAAGATGGCCACTATAGTGTTCATTTTGGCAACAAGAAAATGCAGCTCCTCGAGTCGAGGTCTCCAAGTCAAAAAAATGCCTGACCCTCTCATATATCTGTTGATTATCCCTGTTTATAATTGATTCAAGAGCGTGGCACTGAACGAACCTTTATTCCTATTTGTTATTTGTTTAGTTGTTGGTTGGGTTACATGTTTATGACGTCACAAATGATGCGAAGAATCTTTAAACCAATCAGTGAAGTCTATATTAATTATTTGTTTAGTTGTTGATGTGACAATACGTGTCTGACGTCACGGGTGATTGCATCATATTTCAGTCACGCCATTTTACGACATTGCATAATTTTAGCTGATTTTGGCTTCATTTCACTTTATTTGAAAGACTTTTAAAAATATAATAAGGAGTCAGTATTTTTTTTTATAAATATTAATATTTGAATTTGAGGTCAAAGTCCGAAAATTTGATCAACTGATTGAAATCACATTTTTAAAGAGGTGAAAAAGTGAATAATTACAGGAGTAAACGTGGGTGGGATTTGCTATTGGGAGTTGCTGTTTTTCTAGTTTGAAATGTGTTCAGTGTTGTCGAGGAAGTTTTGTTTGCGCAACGCAGTTAACATTTTATCACGTTTAAGGGTATGCCCATTGCATGATAACAAAAGGTGGAACCACACAGGCAGTTGTTATCAGTAATTCAGCAAAATTATGGGTATAAAAATGATCCTTTTCAGCATGAACATCTGAATTGTGTAGCCAAGTCATCTATCTACTATTATGTGCATTCTTAAATTGATACTTACTAGTATACTCAGCTGAACCAAACTAGCAATTCTAAAAAGATTCAGAAAATAATAATATGTGACCTGGCAACAATTGAAGATATAAGAAATGTCGGAATGTGGAACAAAAATTTTTTTCTTAACAAGAAAATCTTCAATTTACACAGCTTTTGGCATTCAAATCACTTTTCATTCATCAAATCATCAAGCTTTTTTGCATCAATCAAATTCATTTTTTCACTCCTCATTGAAGAGTTTTGATTAGCGTCTCACAACCAGATAGACCTTGTACCTTGACACCTCTATTAGTTACAAAAGATTAGATTATGTAACTATTATAATCCTCCTTTGCAGACCCCAGCCAGAGCATTGTTCAGTCCATATGCAGTAATGGCTATATACATAGTAACTATTATAATCCTCCTTTGCAGGCCCTAGCCAGAGCATTGTTCAGTCCCCATGCAGCCAATATTGAAAGTGATACTGATGCCTTCGATGTTACCTTGGAGACAGAGTTAGAATACCAAGATGGTAAGGGTTGGTGTCTACATGTCAACAGAAATATGGTAACAGCTGTCTAAGTGGAACACATTTGGTACCTCTAAAAAGTGTTCCACTTGGGAGGTGTTCCACTTGTAGAGGTTCATTAACATTAGGTCAGTTGGTTTTGGGACTCTGAAAAGTGTAAATAGAATTTACAAAACCTGCATATCGTTTAGCAAATTGAACGCTCGTTTGTGGTGTTGCTCACCTTTAAGTATAAAAGGCCCGATCCAGGAATAACACTCAAGGGTTCACAGGCTCAAGGTTTGTTGTGTCAACACCTCCAACTGTTATATACCATTAGTATATTATCGATCGTCACACATTTATAAAAGGGACATCTTTATTTTGACAATTAGTTTCACATTTATGGGTGACATATAGGAATCTTTAATTTGTAGGATAAAATATTAATTGTGAAAGTCAAAAATATTCTCAATGTACGTAGTTGTACTAATAATGTTTTAATACTATCTTTTGGCTTAGCAGTTCCCTAGATGATTTTGGAAATAAAATGTTAAAATACTGTATAAAGTTTAGTATGTAACCTGAGTCATTTATTTTTTGATTCAGTGGTATGCACAGTATTGACATCTTTCCAACTATTGATAGTTATCAACATTTGATACAGTTTCAGCATGACTAATAAAAAAAAGAGAAAAATTCCAAAGCTTTTTGCTTGACTTGTCATAATTGCTACAAAAATCCAAAATAGCATACTGTATTCTCTATAATTAGCACCTTGGGTGGTTAGAAAATTCAAAGTACCTCCTTCAAGTCATTCTGATAAGTGCCTATATTAAAAAAGTAAGAAATCGCTGAGAATTTCTTGTATCTTTTTTGTATGGCAATTTTTTATGGCAATATTTGAGAAACCAGAACAAAGTAACAACATTTCTTAACACTAAGACATGGATTGTGATTATAGAGCTTACAGTAAAGAAATTGCTAAATTGAACTAATGATAAATCATCATTTTTGTATAAAATTTGTGTTAAAGACTTCGCAACAAGGATGATTATTAGAAGGAAACAACAAAGTTCACAATCTCGATGTGCACAAAATATGCTCAAAAGACCTCTTGGTTCAATTTCGAATGCGCAAAATACCTCTTAAAGTGTAGTTCAATGTCGAAACAAATCATTTCAGTTTGAATATTTATTTCATTCCTTTTGGACTCTTCTTTTTCACCTATAGAGAATATTAGTGTAAATTATGGTGAAACCATTGATTGATCTCTATTGAGACTGTGCAAAAAATATGCTCAAAAGACCTCTTGGTTTAATGTCGACTGTGCATTGAATTACAAATCTGTCATTTTAGTGTTAGTACTCCATTATCAACCACTTATTTGTTGGTTAAAACTTTTCTCGATATTTGAGAAGTGGGGTGGGTGCTTATTAGGGGGTCATGGCGACTATAGTATTGCAGCTGCACTTAATTTGGCTCGAAGCCAGTTTTGATTTTGCAAATTGAAAAAAATCTGCCAAATTGAAAATCTGCCAATTTTTAGAACAATTTTAGAAAATCCAAAAATGGGTGAAACTAAACTACGGTTTCACTTGTGTAAGTATTCCTGTTCGGATGTCAGTGCTATTCTAAAACTGTAATATGAATCTGAAATGCTTATTTCCAGATCAATGAAAACTTTAAGCTTATTCCTGAATCAGCTAAATTAGATAGCCGTCAATATTTAAAATTAAGCAAATCTGCCAAATAAAGTAGCGTTAAATTAAGTGTATCTACAGTTGTTGATATCGATTAAAATTTTTGATTAATCTTATTCCAGGGTCAAAATCACCAACATTTGATGGACAAGCCACCTCAAGCTTTGAACCACTGGTCAAGGAATCAATAAGTCCAGTTATCAAACATGCAAAAACTGCTTACACTGCTGAAAAAGTGAGTCAAAACACTAGAAATCTTAATGATTCTGATGATGAATCAGATGAGATTGGTTCTGCTCTGCAATATAACACAGAAAATGCCAATGATGATACTGTTTCTCAAAATACCAAAGATTATGCTGTCACTCAAAATATGCAGGAATTGGGTTGTAAAGATGTTCCACCTATAGAGCAGCTGCTTGGTGATACTCTAACTGATATAAGCCTAGATACCACTCTCATACTAGATCAATCCACACAGCTCAGGGAAAATATAGAGAAATACATCAACAATGAAAAACTTAAGATTGAAGATTCAGAGAAATCTGATGAGCCAAATGAATCAGATTCAGAGGGAGACTTCATATTCAGTGCTGTTAAACCAACCCAGGCTGGAAATGAGTTTGAAATTCTTTCAGGGGTTAAATATTTGTTGGACGAAACAATTGGCTTACTATGCCATGATTCTACACAAGAAAATAACCAGAGAGGTTGTAACAAAACAAGGAGTAAAAGAAATCCTAAACATTTTATAACGCAGTTGAAAGAAAGCAATATAAGTGACACTGACATTATAGTACCTGATATAGATGTAGATAAAGCTGTGAAACCTGATCCTAAATTTGCTGAAGACATCTCTAGCATAGGTGGAAAAGGAAAACACAAGCCTGATGATTCAAGTCAAGAATCTCTCGAAAACCATCAGTATACAAAAGTACGGAGTAATTTTAGCCAATCAGAACATTCCCCTTTGAACTTTACTTCTCCACTAAGCCAATCAAAATTAACCCCTCCCACCTTGTCTTTCAAAGCAGATGATATGCTGAGTCTATTCGATACTCCACCAACTAGTAAATTGAAAAGGAAATTACCCCCGAAATGCAGAAGTAAACGCAAGCCATCAGATCCTGATAATGATTTGTTTGGGTTTCTCAATGAAGCATCCTTTGAGTCCTCAAGCAACTCTCCAAGAATTATGCCAACAGTGTCTATTCTTGAAGAAAGTGGATATTGTGGGAGTGGAGATCATAATAACTCAAGCCCCATGAGGAAAAGCCCTCTTCAACCTCCAATTGAAGATATCCCAATTGATGAAAAGCTCTACCAACAGCAGCCTGTAAACAATGATTCTAGTCTAAATGAAATGAAGTGTGACCAGATGCCTATCGATCCTGATGTCGCTTTTAAGACTCCACTCAGAGTTGCATTAAAACGAAGGTCAACAACTTTCTGTACTCCTGATGCAAAAAAAATCTGCAGCCCTATAACCCAAAATATTCCAAAGCAAGAGACAAAAGTGCAATGTGATGTTTCAATGGTAGCTCCTATTGAGACATGCCAAACACCCGATAAACTGATAAATCAAACATTCAGTCAGATTTCACCCTCCTCCTTAGATGCAATATGTGAATTAGCTGACAAAAGTGAACTGGAACACCCACATGTAGAAACCAGCCATGATTGTACATTACCACAGAAAACAATGGGTGATGACTCCCAAAATGAGTCAAAAGAAATCACAAATATTGAACTTGCAACAGATTGTACCAACTTTGAAACAGATATTCAAATTTCATGTTCAAATGTCCAAAATCGAGTTAAAATATCTTTGGAAGCAAGCCATGATGAAATAAGTCAAAATGATGAACTGTTTTCTCAGATTTCACCCAGTGCTCTCACAGAGATGGTTAAAGTGTCAGATATCGAAACTAGGAAAAATGAGCAGCCTCTTTCTACTGGTACAAAAACAAAAACAAAACATAAACAGTTTGGAAAACCCAAAAGGTTCTTTTACCCAACATCTAGTCAGATTTTAAAAGAATGTCCAAAGAAAATTAAACTTGATTTTCCCGAACATAGCACAGACACTCCTAACAGTGAAATGACAATAAAGGTGGCCCCTGACGACAGTGCCAACATAATCAGGCCTCAAAGTCCATATGATGGTTCAAAACCTACAACTCCTAATAGAACAAATGTATCAAGATCTCATAGCCCAAACAGCAGTACAAAGTTCGGGATACAAATTGAAGGGAACATTTCATCTACAAGTGCCAATCCAGCGTCCCTATACAACACTCCAGCAAAGACTTCATATAGAACCTCACCTCATAGACCAATAGTATCGCAATACAATTCAGTGCCATTCAATAAAGAGGAATGGTACGACTCTCAAGGGCTAAAAAGCAGATCATTAATGAGAAAAACAGACAAAGGTAAAGTATTAATTCGATAAAATCAATATTTAGAATTCTTCATACCCAAATATCAATTTAGAAACCACAATGGCCAGTTTTAGAAAAATACAGTGATAACTTGTTTATGACAAAGCACAAAGGGCAGTAATGGAAAAAACACAAAAATAACCTACAGTAAATGATATTTAATGTTCAGAACCCATTCCAAGTTAATTTGAAAGATAAAAGAATATCAAGCAGAAAGGAAAGAGGTTTGAAACTGTTTATTTGTGTGTTGATCATTGATTGGGGTGTGGGAGTTCGAGGTGTGAATTTGTGCTATTTCACCATATTTTTATAGTTGATGTTTTTTGGTGGTCAGCAGTTGGTGATTGGCAGTTGATATTCTATGGTCAGCATCTGTAACAAATGGCAGGTGGTGACATTTCTGTGCACTAATTGTGCTTAGTAAATTTAAATATCATCTTCATCAAATTGAAGTTGTGATAAGTTCACCCTATGGTTTGTGCTTTTTGAATTACTCTTTTGTGTTTCCAGGTTTCAAGAAATTCTCAACCATGAGCCACCAAGATATGTCCAACATAAGTGCTAACACAACTTCAGTTGAAAAGGCACAGTTTGGAATAGATTTGAACCATGATGAGGGAGAATGCCCACTGAGTATTCCAAAGAGAGTCTATTATAAATCATCTAGTGAAAGACCTATCAGAATGTCTGACAAGTCTTCAGAGAAGGCAAGGCTTGTCACTGAAAGTGATGGGATAGAAAATTTGCTTCAGTGTTCCAACAACACAGCACAGAGTATGGATAAGAATAAGAATTTTAAAGCTTCTCCAGGATTTACAACACATAATGAGACGATTGAGAAATCGCCTAAGGAAGCAGCATCAACTTTAGATGGTACAACTACAGAAAAAGTACCTACCTCATGTAATAATATTGGGTTTAAATCAGTAAATCCAAAGGATAGGAAAAACTTCACCAATCCAAGAAAAGCGATTTCAGAAAAGTCTGAAATCTTTAAAGATTTGAAACAATGTGACGCTGATGATCTAACAAAACTCAAAGATCCTTATAATATAACATCCTGTGGTTCCAAATCGCCCACAAATAAAGACATGTCACCATCTCAAGTAGGTAAACCAAATGGTCAAGTCCAGGTTGATCAATTACAGGATGATATGTCAGAGATGAATGAAGATATAGGGAACCAAACCAAATCTGATATAAAGCAGTTCACAGGATTTAGATCAGCAAGTGGAAAAGACATTCCAATATCACATGCCAGTAGATTGAAAGCCCAAAGACTTATTGACGAAGCAGAGAAAGAAGGAGTTAACACAAATGAAGAGATCGAATCTGTTCCTCAATCTGATACAAAGAAAATTGATCAGCTTGGGGGATTTAGATCAGCAAGTGGAAAAGACATTCCAATATCACATGCCAGTAGATTGAAAGCCCAAAGACTTATTGACGAAGCAGAGAAAGAAGGAGTTAACACAAATGAAGAGATCGAATCTGTTCCTCAATCTGATACAAAGAAAATTGATCAGCTTGGGGGATTTAGATCAGCAAGTGGAAAAGACATTCCAATATCACATGCCAGTAAATTGAAAGCCGAAAGACTTATTGATGAAGCAGAGAAAGAAGGAGTTAACACAAATGAAGAAATTGAGCCTGTTCCTCAATCTGATACAAAGATAATTGATCAATTTGGGGGATTTAGATCAGCAAGTGGAAAAGATATTCCAATATCACATGCCAGTAGACTGAAAGCCCAAAGACTTATGGATGAAGCTGAGAAAGAAGGAGCTAACTCAAGTGATGAAATTGAGACTGTTTCTCAAACTGATACTGAAATAATAGATCAATTTGGGAAGTCTAGATCAGCAAGTGGAAAAGACATTCCAATGTCACATGCCAGTAAACAAAAAGCTAATAAACTGGAAAATGATGCTCAAAGAAAATACCTCAACCATGAAGAAGACATTTTCACTCAGGAACATAGACATGGTGATAAAATATTGAAAGGAGACATAATAGGAATGAAACAAAAATTAAGCAATAGTTTAAACCAAATGCAATATACACCAAGGGCAAGCACTCTTACAGAGGATGACTACAAAAGACTGCCCCAAGGATTTAGACCTTTCAAACCACCAGCAATTACAAAGAATAAACGAAAGGTAACAGAAGATGTTAAAGGCAATCAAACCACAGATAAACCTAATCAAGAACAGTTTTCAAGATTTAAATCAGCTAGTGGTAAAGCTGTTCCAATATCTCCTGCAAATAGGTTGAAAGCCCAGAATGTGATAAATGAGGCAGAGAAACAAGGAATAATTACTAACCAAAAATTGAAAGAATCTGAACAAGCTTTTGCTCAAGCTGATACTAAACCATGTGATCAGTTTAGGGGATTTAAATCTTCAAATGGAAAAGAAGTTCCATTATCTAATACAAGTAAAGGACAAGCGATGAAATCACTAATTGATACTCTTGGAGAACTAAGCTATCAGAAAGAACTTTCCCGGGAAAATGAACTTGATGAAGAAATACTGATGGAGGATATAATGAGAATCAAACAAAAATTAAACAGCAGTGCTAACCAGAGAACCTATACTCCAAAAGTATGTTCACTCACAGAGGATGACTACAAAAGACTCCCCCAAGGATTTAGGCCTTTCAAACCACCTGCGATTGCAAAAAAGATAACTAATAAACCCAAACCAGACTTAACACATTCAAACCAGGAACACACGAAGCTTGTCAATTTGGTCAGTGGTACTGAAAATAAAGCAGTGCTTCAAACAAAGAGAGAACCACTCAGTACTAGTACAGAATCACTAAAGGCTGAATTCCGACCTATACATTTGAATCAGAATCATGGAACCAGTGATGAAATCAATGAAACCACTGTTGCACATAATGAAAGCCGTGAAGAATCCATTTTATACACAGGAACTCAACTTCTAGAGATAACCGAGAGCACAAATGCTTTCTTGCATGCTGATGATTTCACACAGATTGTTGATGTGAAAAGTGACCATGAGGAAACTATGCCCTTGAATGATAATGTCCATGAGAGTGATCATGAAGATAATGAGCATGAAAGTGGTCATGGTGTTGATGTGCATGAAAGTAACCATGAGGATAATGTCCATGAAAGTGGTCATGTAGATACTGGGCATGAAAGTGGTCATGAAGTTAATGTGCATGAAAGTGGTCAAATTAATTTGCGTGAAAATGGCAATGAAGATAATATCTATGAAAGTGGTCATGTAGATGTGCATGAGAGAGGTCATGGAACTGATATCCATGAAAGAGCCAATGGAGATTTTGAAAACCCAGAACTTAACACAAGTATCCACCAAGTATCACAACAAAAGGAACATGACATTGATGAATATAAAGTTGTGCACCATCAGATTGCATCTGATTCCAAGTCAAATTGTTGGAATGACTCCATGTCAATTGAACTCAGTGATAACAGCTTTTCTAACATAACACCCAGTTCATCATTGGGAAAATCACAGCCAATCATGCTACCATCTAAATCTAACATGAAAGCCATCAAAGTTTGTAGAGTTAAGCCATTGAATATTCAAACTTACTTGGAAACAAAGGTTGAAAATGAAACTCATACTAGCCATAAATGGAACAATGAATCATCCATATTTCACAATTCTATTACACCAGCCAAGATTTTATATCCTAAAAAGAGTCAGGGTTATAATGAGCTTAATTGTGGTCCACCAACCTTACTTGAATCAAATGTTGACAAAATATCTGAAAACATTTACTCAGAGCCATCACCATCAATAATGCCACAAGAAATAAATGCAACAAAAATAATCAATTTTGTAAGTTCAACAACACCACAAAATAGTTCAAATGGAGACAAGTGCCATTATTCAGGATCACCTAACACATCTCAGATCCCTTGTGTACCAACAAGCAGCAGTAAAATCACTACAGTGAAAGAAAATAGGACAAACACCACTATCAATATTCCTGATGACCCCAGTAGAAGAGAGGATGCCCAGAAATGCCAAATATTTTATCCAAATGAAGTTTTTAAAACTGCTAGTGGAAAAAGTGTTCATATTCTGCAAGATGCTTTGGATCAGGTGAGAAAAGCCTTAAATGATGATATCAACAGTGTGATAGCAATCGATAATTCATTTAATAATAAACCTTCATATTACCAGTTAAATGATACAAGACAAACTAAGCATGAATTGGATGGTCCTTCCCTCAATGCATTCAAGACTAATCATAATGTGAATGAAGGTGCTCACTTCAGTGAATTCCAGACAGCAAATGGGAATAAAGTCAAGATATCTGAACAGTCTTTGAAAGCTGCTCGAACTACACTAGGTGATGATGAAAGTTTGTCATTTGGTGGATTCCAAACTGCAAGTGGGAATAAAGTCAAGATATCTGAACAGTCTTTGAAAGCTGCTAGAACTACACTAGGTGATGATGAAAGTTTGTCATTTGGTGGATTTCAAACTGCAAGTGGAAATAAAGTCATGATATCTGAGCAGTCTTTAAAAGCTGCTAGAACTACACTAGGTGATGATGAAAGTTTGTCATTTGGTGGATTCCAAACTGCAAGTGGGAATAAAGTCAAGATATCTGAACAGTCTTTGAAAGCTGCTAGAACTACACTAGGTGATGATGAAAGTTTGTCATTTGGTGGATTCCAAACTGCAAGTGGGAATAAAGTCAAGATATCTGAACAGTCTTTGAAAGCTGCTAGAACTACACTAGGTGATGATGAAAGTTTGTCATTTGGTGGATTTCAAACTGCAAGTGGGAATAAAGTCAAGATATCTGAACAGTCTTTGAAAGTTGCTAGAACTACACTAGGTGATGATGAAAGTTTGTCATTTGGTGGATTCCAAACTGCAAGTGGGAATAAAGTAAAGATATCTGAACAGTCATTGAAAGCTGCTAGAACTACACTGGGTGAGTATGAAAGCTTGTCATTTGGTGGATTTCAAACTGCAAGTGGAAATAAAGTCAAGATATCTGAACAGTCTTTGAAAGCCACTAGATCTACACTGGGTGTGGATGAAAGTTTGTCATTTGGTGAATTCGAGACTGCAAGTGGGAATAAAGTAAAGATATCTGAACAGTCTTTGAAAGCTGCTAGAACTACACTAGGTGAGGATGAAAGTTTGTCATTTGGTGAATTCGAGACTGCAAGTGGGAATAAAGTAAAGATATCTGAACAGTCTTTGAAAGCTGCTAGAACTACATTTGGTGAGAATGAAAGTTTGTCATTTGGTGGATACCAAACTGCAAGTGGGAATAAAGTCAAGATATCTGAACAGTCTCTGAAAGCTGCCAGAACTACACTTGGGGAGGATGAGAGTTTGTCATTTGGTGGATTTCAAACTGCAAGTGGGAATAAAGTCAAGATATCTGAACAATCTTTGAAAGCTGCTAGAACTACACTGGGTGAGGATGAAAGTTTGTCATTTGGTGGATTCCAAACTGCAAGTGGGAATAAAGTCAAAATATCCGAACAATCTTTGAAAGCTGCTAGAACTACACTGGGTGAGGATGAAAGTTTGTCATTTGGTGGATTCCAAACTGCAAGTGGGAATAAAGTAAAGATATCTGAACAGTCTTTGAAAGCTGCTAGAACTACATTTGGTGAGAATGAAAGTTTGTCATTTGGTGGATACCAAACTGCAAGTGGGAATAAAGTCAAGATATCTGAACAGTCTTTGAAAGCTGCCAGAACTACACTAGGCGATGATGAAAGTTTGTCATTTGGTGGATTCCAAACTGCAAGTGGGAATAAAGTAAAGATATCTGAACAATCTTTGAAAGCTGCTAGAACTACACTTGGTGAGGATGAAAGTTTGTCATTTGGTGGATTCCAAACTGCAAGTGGGAATAAAGTCAAGATATCTGAACAGTCTCTGAAAGCTGCTAGAACTACACTGAGTGAGGATGAAAGTTTGTCTTTTGGTGGATTCCAAACTGCATGTGGGAATAAAGTCAAGATATATGAACAGTCTTTGAAAGCTGCTAGAACTACACTGGGTGAGGATGAAAGTTTGTCATTTGGTGGATTCCAAACTGCAAGTGGGAATAAAGTCAAGATATCTGAACAGTCTTTGAAAGCTGCTAGAACTACACTTGGTGAGGATGAAAGTTTGTCATTTGGTGGATTCCAAACTGCAAGTGGGAGTAAAGTCAAAATATCTGAACAATCTTTGAAAGCTGCTAGAACTACACTTGGTGATGATGAAAGTTTGTCATTTGGTGGATTCCAAACTGCAAGTGGAAATAAAGTCAAGATATCCGAACAGTCTTTGAAAGCTGCTAGAACTACACTTGGTGAGGATGAAAGTTTGTCATTTGGTGGATTCCAAACTGCAAGTGGGAATAAAGTCAAGATATCTGAACAGTCTCTGAAAGCTGCTAGAACTTCACTGGGTGAGGATGAAAGTTTGTCATTTGGTGGATTCCAAACTGCAAGTGGGAATAAAGTCAAGATATCTGAACAATCTTTGAAAGCTGCTAGAACTACACTAGGTGAGGATGAAAGTTTGTCATTTGGTGGATTCCAAACTGCATGTGGGAATAAAGTCAAGATATATGAACAGTCTTTGAAAGCTGCTAGAACTACACTGGGTGAGGATGAAAGTTTGTCATTTGGTGGATTCCAAACTGCAAGTGGGAGTAAAGTCAAAATATCTGAACAATCTTTGAAAGCTGCTAGAACTACACTTGGTGATGATGAAAGTTTGTCATTTGGTGGATTCCAAACTGCAAGTGGGAATAAAGTTAAGATATCCGAACAGTCTTTGAAAGCTGCTAGAACTACACTGGGTGATGATGAAAGTTTGTCATTTGGTGGATTCCAAACTGCAAGTGGGAATAAAGTCAAAATATCTGAACAATCTTTAAAAGCTGCTAGAACTACACTGGGTGAGGATGAAAGTTTGTCTTTTGGTGGATTCCAAACTGCAAGTGGGAATAAAGTCAAGATATCTGAACAGTCTTTAAAAGCTGCTAGAACTACACTGGGTGAGGATGAAAGTTTGTCATTTGGTGGGTTCCAAACTGCAAGTGGGAATAAAGTCAAGATATCTGAACAGTGTTTGAAAACTGCTAGAACTACACTTGGTGAGGATGAAAGTTTATCATTTGGTGGATACAAAACTGCAAGTGGGAATAATGTCAAGATATCCGAACAGTCTTTGAAAGCTGCTAGAACTACACTAGGTGAGGATGAAAGTTTGTCATTTGGGGGATTCGAGACTGCAAGTAGGAATAAAGTCAATATATCTGAACAGTCTTTGAAAGCTGCTAGAACTACACTAGGTGAGGATGAAAGTTTGTCATTTGGTGAATTCGAGACTGCAAGTGGGAATAAAGTAAAGATATCTGAACAGTCTTTGAAAGCTGCTAGAACTACACTGGGTGAGGATGAAAGTTTGTCATTTGGTGGATTCCAAACTGCATGTGGTAATAAAGTCAAAATATCTGAACAATCTTTGAAAGCTGCTAGAACTACACTGAGTGAGGATGAAAGCAGTAATAAAATCGGTATTTCTAATCAATCTCATCCAGCTAGTAGTTCAGTTTTGTCAACACCCAAAGGCTTTCAAACTGCAATTGGATCAAAAGCTGCCATGTCAGAAAATGCATTAAAAGCTGCAAGTTCGACATTAGGAAGAGAATCCCATGATGTAGAAAGTGTCATACAAACAAAGGAAAATGTTGAGCGTACACCAAACAGTAACCAACTGAAGAAGAAAGTCATATACTCTAATGCTCCTAACACCCTCGACAAATCAAGGGCATTGAACAACAAGAAACCAACACCTTTGTGTATAAAAGAATCAAATACAACACCAGCAAGAAAAGACCAAACCACAAACGAAAAACCTGGAGAAGATATGACCACAAAGGGAAATCCATTCAAAGATGTGTCAAAAGCCCAGATGTATGGGTTCACCCAGGAGGCACATGAATGCACCAGGGCACTGTTGAATGATGGTGACTTTGATGAAGAGGTTAAGATTGAGGGCCCATTTCAACAGAGGGATTGGATGGGTAATATCAGTAGTACACGTGAAGGTAAGAATAATTTTCTGCTGTTCAATTGACTACTTTTGTAAGGATGATTTTCTGCTGTTTTACTCCTTATCATTCAATTGACCACTTTTGTTCAGAAGTAAAGATTATTTTTGGTAAATGAAATTTGTTTAGAATCAAAATAATATTGCATTTGGTATATCTGCTTTTTATATAGCTTATTACCACGCCTTTAGCAGCAGGTGATTTTCACCGGTTCTCAACTTTTTCATGTTAAATTCATAATTTCCACTAATTTTGCCTGTTCTTTTCATTTATTTAGCCTGTTGTTAGAAACCCCTGGGTGTATACTTTTGATGTTTGAAGCAAAAGTTGTGATGTATGGTTTTAAAATGCTAGTATGTTCAATCTAATATTGTTTTTTTTTGTATTACAGGTCACCTTAGTGATCGTAGACATCATGGTCTCTCACCAGTGCTGACACCTGTAGCTTCTACTGGGAACCAGCCTGGTAGCAAAAATGCTCTAGTTACAAGGTAAGAAGATGTTAATATTTAGAAAAACAGGGGTGTGAGGAATGTTTTTTGGTCAAACATTTTGTTTTGTGTTCATTGTTTAATTCATGACACTAGGCTTCATGGTTTAGTGCACAAAAATGAACAATAGTTTAAATACATGTATATTATGTTTAAGAACAGGCCCATGTTTGCCAGGGTGACCCCTATAGACCCTCTACTTTCGGAATAACTCTCATTTATGCTTATATGCCTTAATGGAGAATGTAATTTCTCTAGATCTCAAAGCCTTTGATATGATATAATATACCACTGTTTATACAATTGAAGACTGTGATCTGCTTATAGGTGAATGACAAAGGTATTCCAAAGTTAGAGGGTTGCTTTTTTGGGTCACCCTGATTTTTGAATGAAAATTAATACAGTTATGAAAAGTCTGTGATTTTCTGGTATCATTCAATCGGAAATTACTAACCCCCCGACATTTTAATTCGGAAACCTACAAATAATAGGGCTTCAGCAATTGAATATGTTCAATTCTTATACCTGGCATAAGAATTGAACCTCATTTGCCCAAACCTCATGTTTGCTGAAGTCCGAGTATTTGTAGGATTCCGAGTTCAAATGTCGGGGTGTTTACTAATCTCATTGTGTATTTTGTATGATTTCAGCCCACACTCAGGACTTCAGGAAACATGCAGAAACTTAAATACTTCTTATAAACGAAATGTTGATAGACCTCTCTTTATACATAGACGCAAGAAATTCAACTACTCAGTGGCCAATCAGAGTGAAACATCTTATAAAAACACCAACCAATCAGAGCCATCGATTCCTGGCCATTCTGAGGGTGCAGTGGAAAGTTCTTTTGTGACACCCTATAGAAAAGCAGAAGCCTCAAACACTAAAAGACCTCAAATAAATGATTCTGTATCCCTGAAGGACCCTGTTAATGAAACAATTTCAGCAGGGGGATTTAGCACTCCCTTTAAATATGACAAAAACTCTGACGAGCTTCAAGTTAGTGAAACGAAAACAGAAATAAACACTGAAATATATGAATCGACTGTGAGTGACACACCTGTGAAATCACCAGAGTTAACCAATCAGATAAGAGCAGATGATGATGTCATCATGGCAAGAGAAGCCGAGCGTATGTCCCAATCAAAACGAATATTGTATAAAAAACGCAAGAAGGTGCAACCTGTAGTTGGAGCGCTATTGGAGAAGAAAATAAATGGGAAGCGTGTGTCGATGAGAGATATAACAGGAGAGCCACCCCACTCTTCTACAAAAACAGAGGTAGGGAAACAATGAATATTTTTTTTCCAAATTAGTCCACTTTATTAAATGTACAGTGCAGTAAAAAGTTTATTCAGTCCAACTTTAATTGAATAATTCCTTGCAACAGTAAAATGTAAGTTTATTTTTGAGTGATGATATACTGTAGTTATGGTCTCCAACCTTTTTATTCTATGAATGGTGTTGGTGGTTGGCATCTGGCATCTGTAACAAATGGTAGGTGGTGACATTTTGCATGCTAATGCCTTGTTCAGTAAAGAAATACAATAAAATTACCAAAGTTTTGCAAACTTAGCAGCAATTTACAATAAATGCCTACAAAAAATTCAAAGATGAGTACATAATAAAAATGTTGAGACTGTTTAAGGCTTTCGGGGGGGGGGGGGAATTATGATTACTCTGATCACTGGTTCAGGTTAGTTTAAAATATCTACACCTTGAAAAATAAAAAGACTAACAATTTATATTATCTGATCAAAAGATTTGTCTGCCGTGGGGAGCATGCTAAACACTTCAAATTGTCCACTTGTCATAGCATATACTTGTCATAGCATATACTGTATAAGGAATTCTAATGTACCCATTGAATCAGGTGTGAAGGGTGCATAGGTAAGTTTTAAAGCATGCACATATTTTCATTGTAGTTTGAATAAGCATTGTTAAGGTGGATTTTATATGCCTATTGGCAAGGCATTCTTCAGGTCAATGACATCACAGTTGCCAACTATAGCATGTATGATATAACATCACACATATAGCATTGGTTTAATGAAAAAATAATTGATTACCAGACATGACTGACACCTTTGAAATTAATTTGTTAACACCCTTTAAGTGTCAGTTTTTTCACCTCTACAATGTGTTGTACTGTTGCTCCAGATGCCCTGTTGTCATGTTGCTATGGTAACCAGATACCTATGTTACTTGTCAAATGTATTGCTAATTATCCCAACGAACGAAGTTCTGTAGGGATATAGTGAAGCCCTCCATCCATCCGTCCGTCCTTTTTATATGAATTTTGTTTGTCGGATGGTCTTCCAGTGGTTGGTGTTTGGCAGTTGGCATTTGGCATCTGTAACAGATGGCAGGTGGTGACATTTTTCACGTTAATGATATATATTTCAGTTATCACTAATATTGAAACCAGCACTGTGAATGTGACCAATCAGAATGCCAGTGATTACAAATTGAATGCCACATCACACCTATGTCACCATGGTTATAGAAGTGTATTTGTATTAACACAATGAGTTCCATAGGTGGTTTTGTTTGTATTCCAGTTGTTGCTGCTGGAGGTAAAACGAGCATTGTGAGTGTGACCTATCACACATAAAATGCTGGTGATTATGAATTTAATGCCACAAGCACCTATGTCACCTTGATAGTAGTAGTGTATCCATAGTAACACAATGAGTTTGATATGTTTTGTTTGTATTGCAGTTGTTGCTGCTGGTGTTGTAACCAATCAGAATGCAAGTGATTACAAAAAGCCACATAGCTACTATGTCACCTTGATAGTAGTAGTGTATCCATAGTAACACAATGAGTTTGATATGTTTTGTTTGTATTGCAGTTGTTGCTGCTGGTGTTGTAACCAATCAGAATGCAAGTGATTACAAAAAGCCACATAGCTACTATGTCACCTTGATAGTAGTTGTGTATCCATAGTAACACAATGAGTTCGATATGTTTTGTTTGTATTGCAGTTGCTGCTGCTGGTGTTGTAACCAATCAGAATGCAAGTGATTACAAAAAAGTCACATAGCTACTATGTCACCATAGCAACAGGAGTGTATCCTTAGTAACACAATGACTTCCATGTTTTTTTGTATTCCAGGTGTTTGTCACTGTGACTAAATGTGACCAATCAGAATGTTAGTAATTACAAGTTGAATGCTGTAGAGGAAATAAATTGCCATGGCAACAGTAGTGTATCCATAGTAACATAATGGGTTCTATATGATTTTTTGTTTGTTTTTCAGTTGTTTGCTGCTGGTGTTGAGATCAGCACTGTGAATGTGACGAGTCAAAATGCCAGAGATTACAAATTCAATGCCATAGAGCACTTAGGTCTCCATGGCAACAGCAGTGTCAGTGTTAAGATTGGGGATGGGGCCACTCTAGTTTGGGATGATTACAACAGGGCTGGCATGCAGGAGTTTTGCAGGTAATTAACTCACACAACTTTCAAATCAACTATTCTGAATTGCAGAGTAACATTGTCTCTTGCTTTTCTAAAGTACCTTAAAGTGCATTATCCACTATAACTTATATTAACAATATAGTTACAGTAGATTTACAATTAGATTTGCTACATCTTTGCATTGTCATTGTCAAGTTGGTCCTGACTTGTTTTATCACAGTGCTCAATGAACTCTCATTTTACAGTGCATTCCTTGACACTGTGGGTGTAGAACCAAAGCTGATCAGTGAGGCATGGGTATTCAATCACTACAGGTGGATTGTCTGGAAGCTGGCTGCTTTGGAAGTGGCCTTCCCACAACAGTTTGGTGGAAGGTGGGTAATGCCTGCATTTGTATGTTCAAAAATGTCCTATACAAAATTCAAGTTACCATACCATTTTTTTGAAAACTCAAACACCAGCTTTCAGATTTGGTTCAAAGGAGGAGGGAAAGTATCGCAACCGATTTCGGACAGTCATATGTTGGATTTTGGCCATTTTCTCAGGATTAAAACAGGTGCATATGTTAGGCCAACGCATTATCTCCAGGAAAAGCACTCATAGAGATGATAAAATAATTTTGACTTTGAGACCAGGAAGATGCAAACAACCCACCCACATTTTTTTCTGAAATGTCTGATTTTCAACCCCTTCCACCCCTGCTTTTTCAATTTTTGTCGCATCAATATGTTGCATTTTGACACACAATTAAACCCTTTAAGGGAATAAGTAATTCCTCCAGGTGTTTTAAAGATATCCATTATGGGTGACCAAAATTAGTTGAAAGCAATGGATTCCATGAGTTTTCCCTATGGGAAAATAACACGGGAATATTGTTTTTCACTTTATCGAAGAGGAATCACTTATTCCTTTAAAGGGATTAACTGTGTCTTAAAACGCAACATATTGATGCAAAAAATTGAAAAAGCAGGGATGGAAGGGGTTGAAAATCAGGACAACATTTCTGAAAAAACATGTGGTTGGGTTGGTTGCATCTCCCCTGTTTCAAAATTGAAATTGTTTTATAATCTCTATGAGTGCTTTTCCTGGAGATAATGCATTGGCCTAACATATGCACCTGTTTTAATCCTAAAAAATAGCCAAAATCCAACATATGACTATCCAAAATCTGTTGCGATACTTTCCCTCCTCCTTTATGTGCTTATGAGTTTTGGGCATTGGACTTTGTTGAAGAAAAAATTCCAAGCTTCTGAATTCAAAATAGCTATTATTTTTTAGAAAAAATATAATTTCTGATAAATCTCTACTAGAGAATTTTTTATGTCATGCATAGATTTTGCCAAAAAGAGAAAATACCTGGTTGTTCTACAAACAAGTTGTTTGTCTTCTTCAGGTAAACTTGTTATTGTATCATACACTTGTAGTGTTTGAAATGAAGAGTTATATGAAAAAATATGATTTGCTCTGTGGGAGTGGCTGTTAATGTTCTAGTGTTCATGATTGTTTAATTATATACCGGAATATGACACTAGCGTATATTTATCCATTAAGTACCATGACGCAATTATTTTTTATTATGCGTTATATAATGCTATAACTATGCTGACTTCTCATGAATATAATGAAGTTGTGGAGGCATAGCAAAGTAGGTATTACCCTTATGTATGTGATAGATATACAAATTAAAATATGTCCAGTAAAAGAAAATATTATCTGCCCAACACAAGAAAAGATATTTCACTTTTTTGTGGTTTTACAACATGGGGTCTATGGGGAATCTCCCTGACCTAAAGTCACATTTTCAAAGAAAATTAAATTTTCAAAGTTGATAAACTCTTTTCAAAAACACAATGTAATTTTACATGAATATTCCAAATATGACATCAGCTTGACTGTATTTTGAATTTTTAATGACGTAAATCAAGATTATTTCTACTCGCATATAGGATATTCTATTTATTAAGCTTATTATTGATATTTGGGAAGGAATATATATGGTTTTTATCCCCAGGAAAATATCACATTGGCCTATAAAATATCAAGGCTAAGAGTCCTCGGTTAATATGCTATTTTTCTTGGCCATTAACATATTGTACATAAGATAAAATCATATTCCTTCCTTTTTAATGGATAACCTCAGTCTGTTGTACATTTGTGTCCTTGTCACATGAAATATTCAAAGTTTAAGAAATCTTTGGAAATATCCCTCAATAATTTGAGAAACCATTTTGTTCGATTGGATTGTCTGCTCAAGGGTGTTTCTGTTAGTCATTTCCTGATCATAAATGATGCTGAGTGGAATGACATAGAAATTGATACACAAGTATTACATAAATTAATACGCAAATCAGAGAACAAATTGGTCATACATTCTTTCTGCTTGAGAAAGAAAGCATACAGTCTAAAAAAACATAATGTGGATCAAAATATTTATGCTCTGGCTTATAATGAGTAAAGATTTTGTTTCAATGGAAGATGCTAAGAACTTAACAATGCTAGACAGTTCACAAAGGATTTTTATCCCATCTGAAGAATTGATGAATCCTACGGAAATGTATTTAGATACCAGTACTTTCACGGAGTTCAAAAGTACTGCAACAATGCCAAGTGATTCGGCTGAAACTGCAACGTTTAATCAATCATCTACAAACGCGTCATTTATTTTAGAAGGATTGCGACCCAAGGTAGGAGTAACGGAGATGTTAGTTCACACAGTTTTAGAATTCTTTATTGCGCTGGTTATGTGTTTGGGAAACATTGTTGTTCTTCTTGCTGTATGGCATCATAGAAGTCTACACACTGTGACAAATATATTCATCGTGAGTCTGAGCGTATCCGACCTCTGTATGGGTTTATTTGCCAGTCCTCTGTCAATCATCGATAACTACATCACTCCATTGATATATGGCAGCCATGTGCAGAATAAATGGTTGTGTGCATTCAAGATCTTCTGCCTGGCTATATCTGGTGGAGGCAGCCTGCTGAGTCTGTTTGGAATTGCAGTTGATCGCTACATCGCTGTAATGCACCCGATGAAATACCATACGATGATGACACACACTCGGGTTGGCGTTTTACTGGGCTGTATGTGGCTAATATGCTTTTCTTCCTCTGTTATTATCTTCGCTCCGGATGTTATGATGTTTAAACCACAAGATTTGTGTCGTACTGATGAGGTCCTAAATGAAACATATGCAAACTTCATGAAAGTTATTGTTGGGATTTTTTTCATTTTAACCTCATCGCTGCATATCATGGTGTCCTTGGTAGCTTGGAAACACCGCAAGAGAATCGCATCCGAGTTGGCAGTCTTTAACAACAACATGGCTGTGGCATATCGCAAGGAAAATCGGATCACAAAGACAATATTCCTAGTTATGGTTATTTTCGTGCTTTTTTGGCTTCCATGGCTTGCTTTATATAGCATTAATCTGGAGGTGGAGCCAGCTTGGTTCACATCTTTAAAGCATGCAACTGTTGCACTTTACGTGGCAAACAGTGCAGTGAACCCATGGATCTATGCGTATAGGTCTAAAGGGATGCGACAGGCAATGTTGAACATCATCAAATGTAAATGGAATAGTCCAATCAACCTAGAATAAACACTTCTTAAACAAGTGGATGAATATGAATATCTTGGTTGTGTATTAATTAAGTGTTAAGCCATAATAACTAGTTTGATAAAAATTCCAACCATTTGAAAGAACAAGCAAGAAAGGCCTATTTCAAGATAAAACAACAATATATTAAATTTAATGATATCCCAGTTAGTATCACTTTGCATTTGTTTGATACACTAATTTTGCCGGTTCTCAATTATTGTTCTGAGATATGGCTAGATCATAAACAAATGAAGTTTATTGAAACAATCCATCTTAAGTTTTTAAAATCAGTCTTATGTGTAAAGCCTTAGACATCAACACATGTAGTATATATAAAATTTGAAGTACAACTAATAAAATATTGGATTAGACTCCTGAGACTATGGCCAAGTAATATATTATCTGAAACATATAAATATGAGCTTGAGTTACACAAGCTTGGGTTTCCCTCATTGGCATCCAGAGTTTTCAAAATACTTGAAAAATGTGGCATGTTAGAATTCTGGGACAATCACGAAATACCTGATGAGAAAATATTTTTAAATAATGTAAATAGCACATTGATGAGACAGTATCGTGCCGATTGGCAAAATGCTTTTATGTGTGCACCTATACTCAGAACATATTGTAAATATCAAACCAAATTTGAATGTTCTCAAAATTAAAAGAAATTATTCAACGTTTTGATTGTGATGACCCAGATATTTCTAAAAGGTTAATGGCTACTGAACACTTAACTGTTCAATTACACATTGGAAAATTTATATATCATGGATTCAAAATTTAAATTCATACCAGTATGTTTAGTAGTGTGCATCACACTGTTCAATAATTATTTGTAGTTAGAATAATTTTAGTAGTAGTTTGTAGTGTTTTAGTGACTAATGTATCATGTAATTGAAATAAATTGTAAATAAAAGATATGATAACTTCCTAGTTAACTAGACCTCAAGTCAACTCAACCCTTAATCAACTCCACACCAAGTCAACTCAATTTTGATAATCTTAGGTAGAATATAAAACTGGCATATCAAAAGAATTATGAAAAAAGCCTGAAAATTAGGGTTTTTGTGCTTAAATGGAACTAGATTATGAAGATAAACTTGCTACACATCAACCTTTCAGCATTAGGCACTCAGTATTAACCAGGCCTCATGATATTGTGAGCTTACTCTGTGGTATCATGGCTAACGCACAGGACTATACATATATATATTGTATGTACAGGGTGGTCCAAAAAAGTGAGCCCTTGCAATAAGCTATATCTCAGTTATTACTGGCATTTAAGGGCTGATATTCTCACATGTTTTAGAAGAAGGTCTAAAGTTTTTGTAGGTGCCATTAAGGTCACTCATTCTTAAATCTAGCAGAATATACATGACATCAACAGACATTGCCTGATTTCTGCATGATGTGTTCAATCCATGCTTCATGGTTCTGGATAACAACCGCAACATGTAGTATACTGGATGTTGAAGTTGTTCACCACTCTATCCAGTATATCTAGGGAATTCGTTTTTTTTCTAATGCATTTTCCTTTATCTTAAGGAAAGTGGTACCTAGCTAAATTTTTGAGCAGTGGACAAATTTAACATTCGCATTCTAGCAGTTATTATTAGAACTGTGAAGTGAATGTTTAAGTTGTTCACTGCTCAAAAAACTTTAGATACAACTATCTTTTCCTGAATATAAAGAAAATGTATTAGTAATACAAAATACCCCTAGATATGCTGGATAGAGCAGCGTACATCTTCAACATTCACGTTGCAGTTGTCATCCAGAACCATGGAGCATAGATTGAGCACATCATGCAGAAATCAGGCAATGTCTGTTGATGTCATGTATCTTCTGCTAGATTTGAGAATGAATGACCTTAATGGCACCCACAAAAATATTAGACCTTATTGTAAAACATGTGAGAATATTAGGCCATTACTGGCAGTAATAAAGGACCACCCTCTATTAGGAGCTTAAAGGCATGTTCAGCTCAACGTATATCCTCAAATACTCAAGGTATGCTGAGATCTGGCTAGTATTCATGTTTAAAGACAAGTGACATTTGAATGCATCATTTAAGTAGGATGTCAAAATATATTCTCTATTTGTCACTGAGTTCAAACTCAAGTCAAGGGAAATTAAGAGGAGTTTTGAGTAAAATTAACTTTTTATGAAACATTTGAAAAAGACATGATTGCAATGCATGAGAGTGAATTTGTTAATTATTTAATTTTTACATTTACATTCAAATTTATTTCTAGGGATATTCCTCGGCAGACCATATCTCTTCTTATATGGTAGCTTTAACCATATGTATACTTTCCATATATAGCAAAACATGAAAAATGTTTTGCCATAGTCTGTATTGATCACTAAAATGTGCTCAATTCTAGTAGGGTGCCATCTTTTAAGATTTCATGCAAAAAGTGATGTCATCTGGCAAGGAATGTACCTTTGACACATCAGATTGTTTATGTGCTACTTGATGCTAGCTTGAAAAAGATACAATTATCACCTCAGCTAGAGTTATTAATTTGTGAAATACTATACAAAATGATACAGAACATTACATTAATCACATGGAGAGAATTATACATTTTGTAATCATAGCCTAAATATTGTAATTATCTAATTATATGAATAAATATATTATCACATGAACATAGCAATGCAACTGCCTCAACAAAATGTTACAGAAATATATTTTTCAGGTCATTTCTTCAACTAACACAGTGAAAATTCAGTCCAAAAGAAGCTAAATTCCTCTTTCAATTTAGATTTGCCATGATTTCTTATTTTTTTATTGTCTAATAGGTTTAGATCCTGACTATGCCCATATCATACTTGCTATTTCTCAATTGCATGTTGTTGTTTTTTTCTCCAAACAAATATTGTTCAATTGGGATATAGTGAAGCTGTCTGTCCATTTGTCAGTCTGTCTATCTATCTGTCTGGAAAATAACTCATGTCCCTCATGTCTCAAGTTTTGGGACCTTCCTGGACTCATTTAAAATATCAGTACCAGTATTCAAAATGGGGGACACTCCTCTATTTTTAGGTTACAGACCAACCTCTGTTCTTTCTGTCCCCAATCTGCTCCCAAAGATTTGATTGAAAAAAACGTGGAAATAGTAATTTTTATCAATTATGAACATATGTAAAATGAAATTCGGTCATTTGGGATTAAAACTAAGGTCAATCGGGCTTTTCTTGGCCCATCTAAAATTTCATTTTAGAGGTATCTTAGTCTTTACTCATGACAATTTAGTTTGTCAATTCGTCATACATCAATCAATACATCAAACATCAATAAGGTAGGGAACAAAAAGGCCACATATTGAAAATACAAATCATAGTACTAAAATAACCCCTATTAAACCCTATCAAATGATAATATAAACCTTGATAAAGGTGTTCTGAACAATAGTACCATGATAATAACATCAGTTGGTATACTGTAGCTTTAGCCAATAAAGGTCTTGAACCTAAAATGCTTTTGTAGGGTGAGTAAAAAATACTACCAGACATATATTCTTTATTATGTCACTACCACAAGTGATGAAATATTGTTATAGTCTCTAACTTTTTGGTTGATGGTGTCCAGCATCTGGCATTTGGAGTTTGGTGTCTGTAAAAAATGGCATGTGGTGATATATTGTTCATTAATGCCTTATTCATATTTGGATGAAAGATGTGTATTGAAAATTGATTTTATTCAATTAATTCGTTCAATTAATAGGTATTACTCTTTGGCCACCATTGTTTCAAAATTTCATCTTATGGGGGAAGAGAGTGTATATACTATCTGCCCCGTAGCCAGGGGGGGGGGGTTGCAGTCAAAAATTCTTTCAAAATCATGCAGTTTTTCACCATTTTTAGCATTTCTCAAGTGATTTTAGCCATATTTGGGCCAAAATTGTCAAATGTGAACCCCCCCCTGGAAATTTTTGAAAACTGAACCCCCCCTCCCTTGGCAAATCCTGGCTACGGGCCTGACTATAGTTAAAAATTGTCTTCATTATTCCACAACTGTTGACAATCAAACACCACACCTCAGTAAATCGTAATGCTGTTGATTTTATAATGTTTTACTATTCTATCCTCTGCAGGACACTGACACCCGACAATGTAATGCTCCAATTAAAGTACAGATATGACAGAGAAATAGACAGAGCAGAAAGGTAAGTGAAGCATATTTCCTTGTTTTCTTTATCATACTTTGCAAATTGTATAATTCACCAATCAAATGTAGATTATAAGAATATATTTATTTATTTAACAGGCTAAGATTTAAAATTAAGCAAGGTTAACTTAAGGAGGAAGGTAAATTTTAAGCCAGATAGGATATTTTACTTCTACTGGACACATATAATATCTGTGTCATTTAGTGATACGGTTTTACACCTCGGCTACCTCATAGCTATCTACTCGTACAACCATGTTTACTGTTAATTTTGAATCCATTTATGCATAACTTTGCCATTATATTTTGCTTCTAAACCCTGTACCCCAATGGGGAAAAATATAAATCTTGTATATCCAAAAACCTAACTAATCCAAAAAACCCACTTTTCACAATTTTTGTTATCTCCCATTTACCCACATGATAAACCTTGAAATGTGTGCTAATTCCTGGTGATCTTAAAACTTTTGGCTGGTCTCAGTGGCATTTGGATTAGACAGGTTTTACTGTACAGAGTGGTGATCCAAGATATACCTTACTACTGTGGAGAGATGGATGTTAGCAACTGCAGCAACTTCAAAATGTCTTTTAGGTAAAATATCAAAATAATGATTTATGTTTTTATGATGAGCATTTTGTTTGTGAACCAAAGTATGATGTCTCTCTGAATGTTTTTGTCTAAAATCATTATATTGATAACGTACCAGACATTGCGATAGAATTTTCATGGAAACCTGAGTTTATTTCCAGACAATCCTAGCAATTGAAAACCATCCTTTCTGAAAGTCTCTAACATCCATTTCCCCTCAGTAGCAATCTTGCAGCCAGTGAGGCAGACCTGTTTTATTGTTTTATTCACTTGTACAGCTTTAACTAGCAGTTTACATCCTTCATTTGTAAGTACAGTGTTTCTGATATCAAGACTTCGAAGGCCATTGTTGAATTTCAAGGCCTCGGTAAGCACCATCAGTCCCGTCATATCTAGGTCACAATGTCCTAGGTTGATGTCACGTATTGTAGAATTGATACGTATTCCCCTTGTTAGGGCAGAGAGAAATGTACTGTTCAGAGGAACATGACTGAGGTCCAGGACCTTCAAGTGTTGGTTCCTCTCAAGTTTAATAGCTACTTCTTCGGCAGTTACAACATTAAAAGTACAGTGGGATAGCTCTAGAGTTCTGGTCTCATTCGGGATATTCCTGAGGACATTATTGATTAAATTTGGGTTTTTACAATGTGTGAACCCCAAATATTGAACCCGAGACATCCCCTGGCAACTAGATCGTATATTTGACCATAATGTTCCAGAGAGTTGAGCATCAGCCATCTTGGATTCATCCGTGCATGCAATGTGTGTGATTGTTGTGTTGCCAGGGAAGATCTGTGAGATAAATGTTGCTAGGAGATCGGGGGAACTCCACTTCAGTATCAAGGTTGTAATACTCCCATTGCTTCTGATTGCATGTGCCAACTTAATGTACACATTTGACCTATAGGTTGCATGACTGTCAAGGGTCAAGGTCAGTTGAGTGACTTTTGATTTGCTTGTTGAAAGTGCATGTGAAAACCCAAGAATTGCACTTTGTGATATTACATTTTTACCATTGATAGCAATGCATTCTGGCAGAGCTGTAGTGAGACATTTAACAACTGCCATTCTTCCTTCACATTCATTCAAACATTCCAGAGGTCTCATGAACTCATCCAGGTGATTTTCAACTGGCTCTTGCCTTGGTTGTGCCTTTGTTGTTTTCTTCACATGCCCATCTTTATCAGTGGTATCATTGCTATACTTGGTGGCCATATCCTCCATTAATTCAATTGCTATTTCATCACTACTACTGTTCTTAAGTCCAAAATAAAAACTGCAAATGTCAATCCATTTCGGATCATCCAGTAGTCTGATATGGTACTCAGTTTCGTCAACAGATGGTTCATTTACGATACAAAGTGCTGTGAGGTAGTCCTGTATGAACCTGTTACAGAATGTTACAATTTCCCCTTCTTGGTCCTCTTTTATCATGATCTTCACCTTTGATATTAACCCAATCTCATTCATCATAGGGTTGTTGTATTCCTTGTCTAAGAATTCTAGGTGAAATCTTGACTTCTGGGATTTTGCGCCTTGCAGTGCAAGTTGTCTCAAATGATGCAATGTTGTGGAGGCTTTCATTTTCAGTTTGCTTGAATTTTCAGCGAGGTTTTGTTTGCAGAATTGTGACTTTAGAGCTATAAGAAAATTTTTCAATATTGCTGTTTTTGCATGAAAATTGGGCTCCATACCAACATCACAAGCTGTGCATACACACAACGCATAACCAGGAGTCTTCATGAGAATTTGCATTGAGTCTGTAGGGTCTGTATTATTTAAATATTCTTCCAGTGGTTTCATATTAATTTCTGGCGCCTTTGTAATTTCGGTGTACTTTCTGACAAATTTTCTGATTTCTTTAGTTCCATTGAAGCCCATGCACTGATACTGAACATCAAACTGTTTTGCGAAATCTGTGTCAATGTGTTTTAGATTGGCAAACATAATTAAATGAGTATGTTTCAACCAATCTCCGGTAAATAGGTCAGTCAATGCATCTTGTTGCCGAGTTTGGAGATGATCAGCTCCATCTATAACTAATAGAGCCTCATTCTGGTTTGCCTCAATGAGAGACCAGATGTCGTCTGCTTCAAGGTTCAAGGTAGAATGAGAAAGAGGCTCTACAACAGCTGGATGGAGCATGTTACCAATGAGCTTCAAGTCCATGTGGAAGACCAGCTTAAATGGGGTATCTATCATGTTGTTATCTGCCCATTGTTGAACCAGATAATGGCTGGAGGTTGATTTCCCACATCCTGAGTCACCATGTATGAGAATACGCCTTGAATGATGCTGTTTAGTTCTGATATTTCCCAGCAGGTGGTCTATACCAATAGATACCCTGAAATGAAGGATGAATTAAATCAATTTAATTTGAACTCAGCTCAAATCTGATCTATGTCGAATGCATGTTGAGTTTTGTGAGAAATTGAAAATTTGTCAGCCTATAACACTCAGACTGCATCACAATTTGATATCCGGGTGTGTTTTGAACAGTGCCATTCAACATCAAAATTGTGACTATCCTGTTTTTGCCCTCAAGGGTATTATCCCCAATGAACTTTGTTTCATTCATTATTTGTAACAATAATATAAAATCATAGGGTATACGGATATAAACTAGATGTAGATATTGTGTGGTTGACGTTAACAGAACTAATTGCATACCCTGAGTTGTCCAGGACAGCTAGTTGACAGTAGAAATCCCCCAGTCTAGTAGTATTCCCCTGCCATTGTATAGGTCTGTGCTTGCTGTATACTCTACTGTAGTAGCACCTCAGGGCTTTCTCAGCTTTGTCAACTATTGCTGGAAAATAAACATGGATTATATGCTTGACCTTAAGGCATTCTCAGCTTTGTCAACTATTGCTGGAAAATAAACATGGATCATATGCTTGACTTTATGGCTTTTTCAGCTTTGTCAACTATTGCTGGAAAATAAACATGGATCATATGCTTGACTTTATGGCTTTTTCAGCTTTGTCAACTATTGCTGGAAAATAAACATGGATCATATGCTTGACTTTATGGCTTTTTCAGCTTTGTCAACTATTGCTGGAAAATAAACATGGATCATATGCTTGACTTTATGGCTTTTTCAGCTTTGTCAACTATTGCTGGAAAATAAACACGGATCATATGCTTGACCTTAAGGCATTCTCAGCTTTGTCAACTATTCCTGGAAAATAAACATGGATCATATGCTTGACTTTATGGCTTTTTCAGCTTTGTCAACAATTGCTAGAAAATAAACATGGATCATATGCTTGACATTATGGCTTTCTAAGCTTTGTTGTGTGCTTAACTTTCTTAGTTTCTTAGTTTTGTCAAAAGTTTCTACATTTTGTCACATAAAATAAGTTGTATTTTGATTATGCTGGTGCATCGATTAAGCATGACACCAGTGAATGTGTTAACTTACTCATATTTGATAGTTTCCCAGTATTCATCAAGTCAAAACGTGTTTTCTGCATCGCCTCATAGATATCAGAATATTTTTCACGTATGGCTTCAAGAAATACCATATATGCCCTGGTTGTCTTGGTTACCAGAAAATCTAGCAAACAGCGCATCTTGTCAGCTCTGTTCTGATTCATTGATATTGTTTTTATTTCTGATGATGTCATAATGTTATGATGACACAATCTTGGTGTGATGTCATCTGGAAGTATTCTCGCTGTTATTGTCGAGTAGAATCTGTTGATTACATCTCTCTGCTCGATGGACATCTCTGAAAACAGATTTCATATGATTTATAGGGGTTTCATTCATTCACATGTTATTCATTTCTTCATTTATCAATGTATTTTCATGTTACCTGTAAAATTGTTTGATTTGATTATAAGGTCACCTATACACCTATATTTATTAAATTATAGAACTCTTGCATACAATGAATACACCAAAAGTATTAATCATCAAGAAATTGAACTGCAGAGAATTAAAAGATTTTCCCCCTTTTACCTGGATGTAAATCTAATGTTTTCACACATTTTTGGTTCTCATCAATAATCTCATAATTTGAGAAAATATCCTTCTTAGGTTCCAAGAGGTAATCAATAAGGACATCCTTTTTGAAAGCAGCAACTTCCCCAATTCTTTCATACATTGTCTTTCAAGATTATCAATCTCCTTGGATTAATTATTGGTATACATATTATTGTTTCAGCTTTGTTTTGTATTGATGTAAACAATATATTTGATGATCGAGTGTATCATTTTTATGAATGTGGTCACTTCTCCAGTTTCGACTAAATTATACTTCAAAATCCCTCCTCAGATAGATTATTTACATATAAGATTGGAGCTTCATTCTGTACTGATGTAAACAACAACAGTTGACATGTGTATCATATACATATAGCATGTAGATTGTAGAATACATAAGTGGATTTGTTTGTAGTCAAGTGGTGTAACAACTAGATCTTAGAAATTGCTGTATTATATTGGCTTTATACAGATTACATTACCTCTTTATTTAAAAGGTAATTCAAATACAATAAACATGTATCCGCTCATTCCGCCCCTTTTAACAACTCATTAAAATCCAATAAAACTTGAACAATAAAGGAGAGCACAGCATTTCTTTTGATATACAATTCTGCCATCTATATGAATTGGAAAAAATAATTTTTACATTAAGAATGTTGTTTTTAGTTCTTCAGTCCATTTTAAGATGACTTGAGCATCAAACATAGATTTGATACATTTATAATATGTTGAAAATGTTTTATGTGTTAAAACATATAAAGTATGTTTATTTCGGATTATTGAGGTAAATATTTTCTCATTGATTCAGGTGTGTATAAAAGATACACATGTATCACTCTAAACAATTGTAATGAAAATGCCACTGAATTTTTATCAAGGGTGGAGTAAGTTAGCAGATTTAATGCAACTTTGGGACATAATTTTTAAAAGTTTGAAGTAACAGTCAAAAAATTGTCCACTTAGCAAATTCTCTAAAAGTGTGTTGAGGCAAATGCCTTATAGATCTAAACCCAAGTAAATATGATGTTAAATCTATTTTGTTTATTATACAAACCATTGTCCAGTGGATCGACTACTGTCCTCGTCCCTTGCTTGACAAACACATCCAGAATAGAGGCCATCATCAGAGAATTATTATGAAGTTACAATTTAAAATCCTGATATTTGATGTGAAGAAAATGTCTCATATTGTCAATGAAAAATCAAAAACTGAACATATGTATTCTTTATGTAATTGTTTATGCTCAACACAAATCTTAGGTTATTCTTTAGCAATGATATGTTATTCTTGAACTGTGATATGTTATTCTTCAGCAATGATATGTTATTCTTGAACTCTGCAATGTTATTTTTGAGCAATGTTATGCTATTCTTGAGTAACCAATGGCTTACTATAACCTAACAAGTCCTCAGTATTCAAATCAATATTCAAGATTTATTCATTAATGACCTAATCATTAATTTAATTCTCTTAATCTACATGTAATCCATCGTTCCTCCGAATATGAAATTGAATTCCTTTACTCTTGTTATTCCATTTTTGAAGGGTGATTATTAGCTGAGCTTTCTTTATGAAATAAAAAATTGATCGGTGCTCACTGGCTATAAAGGAATGTTGTACTAGTTAATAATTCTAAGGAGTATTATGGCTACTACAAGTGGTCTATTTACATATGGTTTATAACCTATTCTACTGTTATTTTCTATTCTGTTGATGTTATATTTGTTCGAGTTGATGAAAATAAATAGAACCTTTTCATTGTTAACCTTGCAAAATATTGTTTTGAAAGTTCAGTTCGTTATGATACAGAATGGTTAAAGAAATATTGTAGGGTGGTTGATGAAATATTGTAGGGTGATTGATGAAATATTGTAGGGTGGTTGATGAAATATTGTAGGGTGGTTGATGAAATATTGTAGGGTGATTGATGAAATATTGTAGGGTGGTTGATGAAATATTGTAAGGTGGTTGATGGAATATTGTAGGGTGGTTGATGAAATATTGTAGGGTGGTTGATGAAATATTGTAGGGTGGTTGATGAAATATTGTAGGGTGGTTGATGAAATATTGTAGGGTGATTGATGAAATATTGTAGGGTGATTGATGAAATATTGTAGAGTGGTTGATGAAATATTGTAAGGTGGTTGATGGAATATTGTAGGGTGGTTGATGAAATATTGTAGGGTGGTTGATGAAATATTGTAGGGTGGTTGATGAAATATTGTAGGGTGATTGATGAAATATTGTAGGGTGGTTGATGAAATATTGTAGGGTGGTTGAAGAAATATTGTAGGGTGGTTGATGAAATATTGTATGGTGATTGATGAAATATTGTAGGGTGGTTGATGAAATATTGTATGGTGATTGATGAAATATTGTAGGGTGGTTGATGAGATATTGTAGGGTGGTTGATGAAATATTGTAGGGTGGTTGAAGAAATATTGTAGGGTGGTTGATGAAATATTGTATGGTGATTGATGAAATATTGTAGGGTGGTTGATGAAATATTGTATGGTGATTGATGAAATATTGTAGGGTGGTTGAAGAGATATTGTAGGGTGGTTGATGAAATATTGTAGGGTGGTGATTTTAGTTACTATAAAATGTAGAGGAACAAGAACTGATTATATATATATATATCTAACTGAAGAACCAAAGTTCTTTGATAATGAAGATGTTGTAATTATTTTGAAATTGTTATGAAGATTCAATATCTACAGTTTAACTGTATGAGTGAAATGACTTTGGCACCTCAAAGGAGGAGGTCTACTGCAGAAGTGTTCCACTTTTACAGGCTCTAGTGTAAATGATACATTTCATATGGAAACACAAGAGATACCAATAATTATATCCCTCGGCTGATATGGAAGGCATTTAAGGGCAATTCCTTCAGCTTTTATTATTTGTTATTTATTAGAAAGAATGCATTGTCTATTGTTTGTAAGGAGCACCTCATTTCCTATTTATCAATTTTTAATATGAAAAAGTTATATACCTGATGAATTTGCTTGTGTTGCATATTTGTGACTATCTCGTTGGTGGCGAGTCCATTGTCGTGGTGAGTTAGCTCCGTTTACTTTATGAATAGCGCCATCTATAGTGGGTAAGGTACCACTACATAGTTTCGCTACGTCATTGTGGTGTCTGGTTTTTATTTTGTACATGTTTGCTTCATTTTCCCGCACCAGATTTTCTAGTTTGTTCCATTGCTGGACCAGATCAATGTATCGTTTTTCTTCATCTAGTGTCAAGTTAGCAATCCTTAGTCTTTTGATCCACACGGCACAAGTTGCTCCCCCTAGATCCTTTAGTAGTTCTGATATGGTATTCCAATATGTTGTGAAGTTCTTTTGGTCCACGTGAGTTACGGACCCAAGATAAGCTTGGATACATTGGAAATGTGCAATATGTGCCGAAAGGCTATGATCTGTTGCTTTAGGCATTTTTCTCCATCCATTTGGATACGGTGGTGATAAATGGCAGACGTGGGTCAGTAGCGTCAAGAGCAAGGTCGCGTCATATGTTTCAGATGTCGCCAATTCTTTATGTCTTGGGTACAAGGCCAACCATTGAGACTGGGTAATCACACCGTAATATTTAAACCTGCGGAGGGCTTTGTGAATGTCTGGCTTTGCTAACTTGTCGACTAATAATAATGGTGGATACAGTTTGTTGAAAGTTTCTCGTAGAGCAAGGGTTCCAACCTCAAGGAAAAGCCTGCATAATGTGGCATAGTTTGCACGCTGCTGACCTTTGTGAGGATATGATATGTCAGCCATTTTGTAAGGTTGCTATGGTTGGTGGTATTAATTCGTTATTCTACAAGTAAATGCCAATAGAGCTGTTAAAATTCTAAATATTTAAATGTAGTCTAATATTTTTTTTTATCATTTTTTGTAAATATTTTCAAATCGATTGAGGACCATTGATTAAACAAATTATATTTACTAATGAATATACCTGTAAACAAATTTACATATTTTGAGTGAATATATAAGAAATGGGACGTTTGTCAGAGACTGTGCCATTACATCATATTTATTGTAATAACACCTCGATATCTGATTTCGGAAAACAAATGTAGACATTTTGAATTGAACAGAACACAATCAAAAAGTTTAATCAATATTGGGTATTTTTCGAGTAATCATAATGTATATTTATAATAATACATAAGTTACTATTGTTAACATTGTAATTAAAAATGTTAGTACTATATTATCTGGGTAAATTATGTTCCATTTTGAAAATCTTCCATTCTGTTCTGAGGATTTTTACACTGTCCCATTTCTATAGTTTTATATACAGTTCAGGGGTTTCATTAGTAGCAGGCAACAGGCGATTTTCACCGGTTGTTTTCACAAAATCGCCTTTTCTTTTTAGGGACTTTCCAACTTGTCCATGTTAAATATGATTTCCATTAATTTTGCTTGTTAATTTGATTTATAGCCTGTTTTGAGAATTTTTAGTGAAACCCCTGCAGTTGTATTCAAGTCCCTATATAGCAGGTAGTTTTGTTCTCATTAAGATGAGCTGTTTTCCTGTTCAACCTATCCATGACTACATGAATAACCAATAACATAATTATTTAGCTCCATGAATGGTAAAACACGAAATGTATAAAAAACTACAATCAGGATAAGACACTTACTTCATATTGTCATGCTCATCCGTCGCATCCCTTCATATCTCCTAGTCCTATTTCATTTAATTACAAAACAGTGTTGTCATAGCAACATACCTGATAGTCTAGTTAAACATTAATATAGTATACACCAGTTTACTTAATCAATCTGTCTCTTCCTGACAACTCAACTCTTTCACACGATCATCTCTTTGTAAAGATTTAAATGCATCAAATAACACGAAGAAAACATCAATATCGAATTGCAAGAAAACTTGATTTTTGAGTTTACAATTGATTTGAAAATGAGTAGGGATTTCGTCTTGATTTTCTCCAGGGTATTTGAACACTGTCTAATCAATGCTAGATAGCGCTGTGCAAATGTGTGACATAATAGTTTTGTTCATGATTCTTGAATTGTTTGGATTCTGCTCTGGCACTTAGTGATTATAATTCCCCATAATTTAAACACTAAGTATTCTCTGTTGCAATCAAAGAGAGGTTTCACCATCCCAGAATTCTTATGACATTCCATAAGTGTGGATGTTGTTGATTGGTTCACAAACATACAATGGTGACTAGGATTTTCCTCATTTGCTGGCTAATCTACATTCTGTATAGAATATTGAAAATTTTGTATCAAGTGAGATATCATTTCTTTTTAATACCTGTTATTACCAGTTTTAGTGTGTATATCTACTAGATTCACAACGTGTTAGTAAATCTAGTATTTGTTGATAGTACTGGGGCAGTCTGATGAGTGCCTGGAGGCATTAGAAGGGATAGAGAATGTAAAACATTAGTAGCTATGTTCTCAAAGGTAATGCCAATGCATTCCTTATAATAACGTATTGTTATGATTTCCAACAAATGGGAGGTGGTGACATTTTGCATGTTAATACCTTGTCCTAACTTTATTTTTCAAAAAAGAATTTGGATATTATCAGGTAAAATATATTCGTTATTAATGATTTAAGATGTAGAAATGTCCAGAATCATTATAATTGAAAAGGAGATCCCCTCGAATCCCCTTGAGGATGATGATGTTACTTGTATTTCTACATGTAGGTCAGCATTAAAGATATTTTATATTTGTACATTAAGGTCAGCATTAAAGAAGATATATGAGAGAGATGATGTACTTTGTATTTGTACATGTAGGTCAGCATTAAAGAAGATTTATGAGAGAGATAATGTACTTTGTATTTGTACATGTAGGTCAGCATTAAAGAAGATTTATAAGAGAGATAATGTACTTTGTATTTGTACATGTAGGTCAGCATTAAAGAAGATTTATAAGAGAGATAATGTACTTAGTATTTGTACATGTAGGTCAGCATTAAAGAAGATTTATAAGAGAGATAATGTATTTTGTATTTGTACATGTAGGTCAGCATTAAAGAAGATATATGAGAGAGATGATGTACTTTGTATTTGTACATGTAGGTCAGCATTAAAGAAGATTTATAAGAGAGATAATGTACTTTGTATTTGTACATGTAGGTCAGCATTAAAGAAGATTTATAAGAGAGATAATGTACTTTGTATTTGTACATGTAGGTCAGCATTAAAGAAGATTTATAAGAGAGATAATGTACTTTGTATTTGTACATGTAGGTCAGCATTAAAGAAGATTTATAAGAGAGATAATGTACTTTGTATTTATACATTAAGGTCAGCATTCAAGAAGATATATGACAGAGATGATGTATTTTGTATTTGTATACATGTAGGTCAGCATTAAAGAAGATTTATGAGAGAGATGATGTACTTTGTATTTGTACATGTAGGTCAGCATTAAAGAAGATTTATGAGAGAGATGATGTACCTTCAAAGACAATGGTGCTATGTGTAGCAGCAATAGATGTCTCCACTGGACAAAGTGGAGGTGGAGAGGCTGAGAGTGCCGAAAAATCTGACATGAAAATGACAAAGGTAAGATTCTTTTTTTTATTATTATTTGCTTATTATCCCAATGAACGAAGTTCAGTAGAGATATAGTGAAGCCCTCTGTCCGTCTGTCAGTCCATCAGTCAGTCCATCCGTCCATATGTCTGGAAGATAACATGAATACTAGTGGACGGATTTTCTTCATATTTGGTGGAAAGATGTATATTGGTGAATAGTTTTACGCAACATTATTAATACTCAGTTTTGTTTTGTAATTTGGGCCTCGTTAAATTCAAAATGGCCACCGCCTTATGTGGAATTTCGCAATAATTTTCTGATCTGTTTTGGTATTGTTTTCCTGATTTGTGGCTCAGAAAATTCAAATTGTTTTTATTATTTGTGCCTTTAAGTCTTGAATGGTCACCCATATATATATATATATCTCTTATGTTTCCAATGTTTATATTTTTTGTGAGAAATTGATTCATATATGTTGTAGTATTCGTTGGGATTTGCTACTCTGTGGAGTTGCCGTTTTCTAGTTAAAAATTCAAATATACCAACTGAATCTCAGCCAATCAGACAATATGTTGTGGTTCAATGTAACATAAGACAGTATGTGGTGGTTCAATATCATATCAGACAATACAATATGTGATGGTTCAATATCATATCAGACGATATGTCATAGTTCAATATCATGTCAGACAATATAATATGTGGTGGTTCAATATCAGATCAGACAAAATGTTGTGGTTCATTATCATATCAGACAATATGTCGTGGTTCAATATCATATCAGACAAAATGTGGTGGTTCATTATCATATCAGACAATATGTGGTGGTTCAATATCATATCAGACAATATGTCGTGGTTCAATATCATATCAGACAATATGTGGTGGTTCAATATCATATCAGACAATATGTGGTGGTTCAATATCATATAAGACAATATGTGGTGGTTCAGTATCATATAAGGCAATATGTGGTGGTTCGCTATCAGATCGAACAAAATGTGGTGTTTCAATATCATATCAGACAATATGTGGTGGTTCAATATCATATCAGACAATACAATATGTGGTGGTTCAATATCATATCAGACAATATGTGATGGTCCAATATCATATAAGACAGTATGTGGTGGTTCAATATCATATCAGACAAAATGTGGTGTTTCAATATCATATCAGACAATATGTGGTGGTTCAATATCAGATCAGACAATATGTGATGGTTCAATATGATATCAGACAATACAATATATGGTGGTTCAATATCATATCAGACAATATATTAGGTTCAATATCATATCAGACAATGTGGTAGTTCAATATCATATTAGATAGTATATTGTGGTTCAATATCATTTAAGACAGTATGTGGTGGTTCAATATCATATAAGACAATATGTGATGGTTCAATACCATATCAGACAATTCAATATGTGTGGTTCAATATCATATCAGACAATATATTAGGTTCAATATCATATCAGACAATGTGGTAGTTCAATATCATATTAGATAGTATATTGTGGTTCAATATCATTTAAGACAGTATGTGGTGGTTCAATATCATATAAGACAATATGTGATGGTTCAATACCATATCAGACAATTCAATATGTGTGGTTCAATGTCATATCGGACAATACAATATGTAGTGGTTCAATATCATATTAGACAAATAGTGGTGGTTCAATTGCATATCAGACAACATGTGGTGGTTCAATATCATATCCAAACAATCTGAAATCCCAATAATAGATTGTAATCAGCCGTTTCATAATCCAAGATGGTACATCCTTATAGGATTTTTCTAATCTTTCTGCTCTGTTTTTACGTTCTGTATCACCAAATGGATTTTTATTAAAACCAAGTTGCTTAAAGAAGAAGCCAGCATCTTCTGTCAGTGATTCAGTCTTAACAATAAAGTTGTATGGCACATCACATGGTTTGCAAGACTCGAAATATTGCATCCAATGGGGTTCTAAATGTCCCCTGTTATGTTTTGGGTTTTCCACTATATACTGAAGAAACTCAGTGAATGTCACATTTATATCATCATATTTAATCTTTTTTGGGTTAAGATTATGGTATTTCGCCATCATTGTTCGTCCCCATTTATTTCTAGTATTCGTTGGTGGTTTGTGATTGGTCATTATACGGTCCCAGTATGACGATAGCAGTCTCTCCCAGGGATTTCGTACATTTAATAAACGGATAGTATAATTGGTTATCTTTTTATGACTTAACTTCATGTCAATTTTTAAAATCGTCCTTTTGGCTTTTAATTTGTTGAAAGTGTCTCTAAAGTTAGAAAAACCTGCTTTCAAAACGGAGCACCAGAGGAGGGTGTGTTTGTCCAATGAAACTTGCATGAGTTGTATGGATTTGGTCGTCACTGCCGGATGTTTGTACTCGTAAGAATCTTTGAACTCTTTGCAGATGCGTTTCAAACGTTCCATACGTTCTTCTATTTGTTTTTTCTTATCTTTTTTCATCTGGAATTAAATGCACATTGAGCAACATTTGGAAATGTGATCATACAGGAATTCAGGAATTCAATCTTCAAAGCACTGAAAAAATGATAAAGTGGCATGATGTTTGTTTACCATAACCTTATATCCTTTGTAAATATGAGTGACACAAAAGCATTAACTTTATACCCTCCGTAAATATATAGCATAAAAGTTTTAACTGTTCTGAGATTTGGCTTGGTCAAACATGAATGAGAATACATTAAATATGAATGTAAAAAGCTGTGTTTATTTCATCAAAAGACATAGAGTAGCTGTAATGTTGTTTTATTGTTAAAACTTGTTAAAGTTTACTGTACCGTTTAACCATGTACATGTTTTTATCATACTTCAGTCTTAAAAGATCACAAATGTTTAGTTCTCAGTATAATAGACTAAAATTTCTTAAGTCATATTCATAACAACTTTTAGTACATCCTTTGAAAAGTTTATTTTCTATGGGAATTTTTCAATATACAAAACTGAGAAAGAAAAAATCTAGCATATACAGGGTGGGCCAAAAAAAACGCCACTTTTTTTTCAAGACGCTATAACTTTTTTATTTTCCAACCTACATACCCCAAATTTTGCAGATGTATAGTGTCAAGGGTTCTTAGTAATAATATCATGTAACAAGTCCATCAATTTGGATTATATTTGACCTAAAAGACGAGTTCAATTGGTCCGCCATCCTATTTTGATGATAGATTTTAGTTTTAGTCGCCTTGCTGATATAGCAGTATCAATGAAATGTTAGCTAATTTTTTTTCAACATGTCTTAATTGCCAGCTTTAGTTGAGCAATCTTTTAGATTGGGTGCCTTCATACCATCTCCTGGAGATCTCCCCATACCCTATACTCACTTTGGTTTGCATCAGGGCTATTACCTTTGCGGTCATCAGGCCATATCAGTTCAGGAACATTTTGCAAATTATGCTTATCTCTCATGGCATACCATATATTTAAGTGAGACGCTGGTAACATATCTTATTCAAGTAAAAGTGTATAATTCGTGATCCAAGGCTAGATAACAACCTCAAGTTTCATTTGGTATGCAAATTATGATTTTGTATCAAAAATCAAAAAAGTTATAGCATTTTGAAAAAAAAAGTAGCGTTTTTTTGGCCCACCCTGTACTATTAATTAACTAAAGTATACATGTATATCATAGTGCTACAGTAAAAATAATGCTACAGACCTTAACATGTTCTTGTTTGGTTTTATTAGAAGGTCCCATGAAAGGAATAGCATTAGATGATCCAGTATGTTGCTCATCTCTGTTCCCTTTTTTGAATCCATTTACACTTCCTTCCTCGTGTTGACTTTTACTTCCTCCATATTCCTCAACATATGCAAAATGTTTTAACACAGAAAAAACTAACCATATAATCACAAGAAGCATACAACCTTGCTTTAAAATTCTCCACAAATAGCGATTCATTTTCTATCTCGAAAGCATAAAAGTTGAAATGTATATGTCTATTGAAATGCATTTTCTCATCACTTTAGTTGATGCATTCAAAACTCATGAGCTGTGTTAAATCCTTTGAAAATGTTTGTTCACTGATCATAAAAAATTTTTATGGGTGTTATGTGTTATACAGGACATACTTGATTTTTAATACAAGTGTTGGGTGCAGTAGTATTGTTCAGGTCTTTGTCTCCTTATATTTGCATTTTTGCTTAAATGAGATTTTAAAAGGTATTTCAAATGTCAATATACATGTTTCTCTTAGAGGTTTTCATGGTAGGGACCTTTTTGAAAGTATTTTAAAAATGATTAAAATTTGAAAGGTTGATGGTTAGGAAATTGTACAAATATTCAAAATAAAATTGAAGAATTTTTTTCCTGAATCATTGAAATACTCATATAAAATACCATTAAGACCATCATTCTCAGAAAAAGGTTGGGTATTCAATTATCAAAATAAGTATTTATCCTGAGCTATATTTCAATAAGAATGCTATTCAGGCCCTTGTATTGAACTTTGTTTACTGCTGAAGAAGGGTAAGCGATACACCCTTAAGTCTTGAATTGAATTGATTGTCATATCTAATAATGATTTAATTAATCAGTTTTTGACAGATATCATTTACTGAAGATTGAATTAACCATTTTTGACCTTAATGTTCTACTGTCTGAACAATCTTATTTAGTTTGTGAGTTATTTTAGGCCATAGCTTTAAAGTTATAAAAAATCATACCTGTTTCATTGAAGAAATAATTTCCCAAATTCTGTTCTTTAATACAATGGCGGGGGCAGGAGATCAAGCAGTTAACAGTCCCAGAAATGTAGGTATTCAGCACAAATAACTTTTTTATGTCATCACCAAAAATGGTGACCTTGTTATGGTCTCAAACTTTTTGTTGACAGTGTTTGTTGGTTGGTGTTCTGTATCAGTAACAAATGGCAGGTGGTGACATTTTGCATGTTAATGCCATGTTACGATATTCTACAATTTCAGGTCCAGCTTGAGCTGACAGATGGCTGGTACTCTATCAGGACAATCATAGATGGACCCCTTCAGCAGTTCATCAATCAAGGAAGGCTGTTCGTGGGTCAGAAACTATGTATATGTGGAGCAGATCTGGTCGGCTCTAATGATGCATGTCCGCCATTGGAGGTGAGAAATCTTGAATGAACAATTAAATATAATATTTAATACAGTATTAAGACAATAAGTATAATTCCCTTGATGACTGGCGATAGATGGCACTAAAGACTCATAGTCAATAGATTGTATGGAATATATTAACATGTAAAAATTGCTTCGAAAATTGCAAAGACAATTTTCAGTCATAATATAGTGAGATTTTGCAACTCAGATGTTTATTTTTCCTGTTTAACCAAATATGAAGCGTTTCATTACATCATAATTTATTGCGCGACTCTATATGTCCATCAGTATGATATTCATATAGACAACGATTTTTAAGAATATCACACTTATGGATTTATAGAGCTACGCAATATATCATGACGTATTAAAACACTCCATAAGTTATATGTTATCTTGATATCGAATCTTCTAAAATGTAAGAACAGAATTATGAAGAAAAAATTGATATTGGTTTGATTAATAAAGTTTACTGAAAGTAACTGGTGAACGACTAACTAAATATCTGCCATCTATATCAGTCATCAATGAGAAAATAGAAAGCCAAATTGTTTTAATATTTTTTAGCACACAGGAAGGATTCATTGACTTATTATGACGAAGTGGTGACATAATTATAATCACTGTATTCTATGATGTCTGATTCTGTGGTCTGTGATTGTAGCTCAGAGATACAATAAATACATCTGTTTGGGCATGACATGGTTATTTTTTATATATTTGTTCAATTACTTGTCCTAAATGTTTTACCTATTGCAGCTGAATCATATATCCACGTGAAATATAGGCCCGTAGCCAGGAAAGTTCAGGGGATGAGAGCAAACCCAATGCCCATTGCCAAAATTTCTTTCAAAATCATGCAGGTTTTCAACATTTTTGGCACTTTTCAAGTGATTTTTTGGCCAAAATGGTCAATATGTGTGAACGGCCTGGAATTTTAAAAAGTGAACCCCTTGGCAAAAGCTGGCTACAGGCCTGGAATATTGGCTTTTGTAGCTCGGGTTACTATAACTCTATATGCACTGGTACCTAATTAGAGCAAAGTAGAGATGAAGAGGCAGCATTTTAAGGGATGTTGTCCAAATAGTTTTTGAAGAATGGAGGAATTTTAATAGATTAGCATTTTCAACTCATCGTTAATCAGAGATGGTAAAAATCATTTGAAGAGTCTGCTCTTATACTGTTCATAAACTTTATACATATATTTGAAAATTATTTTTATTTCCATTAATTTTAGGCTCCTGGAAATCTAGCTTTGAAGATTCATGCAAACTCAACAAGACCTGCCAGATGGGATGCAAAACTTGGTTACTATAGAAACCCTCAACCATTCCCTGTTGCTATCTCCAGTCTCTATGGTGATGGGGGACTTGTTAGCTGTGTAGATGTTGTTGTGATCAGAGTATATCCATTACAGGTATTTATTTATTCTTAGGCTACTAAAAATTAATTGCCAGTTTAGTTGTCTCATTGTCATCCTGGAACTTCCCTACTCAACCCCTTTCTTACCTAAATTATACCTTTAAGATTTGAGGGCTTTTTTGTTTGTTGACTTTCATGTTACTATGCTCACTTGCGAACACATACCTCATATCCCTTTTTGGCCACCCCTATCCTCCGATTGGCTGCAGCCCCCTCCCCCAATTGTCATTCTTGCCTGATCAATAGGAAATTTAAGATATTGTGTCTTGTTGAGTCTAAATGTTCATTCATTTTCTCATGTTTTTTTAGTTCATGGAGAAACATAAAGAGGGCGGCACTGTGTTTCGAAATGAACGTGCGGAACAGAAAGCGGCAAAGCTATTTAACGATGAAAAACAAATGAGGTAAACTTAAATTCTAGATTAACAATTATTTGATATCTTGCAATCTGTAAGCAATATAACACTATTTGGTCTCTCAGGGAATAAACTAATATTGAGATTCCAACAAGTTAATTCCAAGTTAATATAGGAAAATGGAGGTACATTACTTTCATTATTACCATTGAGATCTCTCGATCAAGTCAACTATAATCTTTGGTAAGCTCGAGAGATATTTTCCAGAATTTTCATACTTACCCCCTCCACAGGGGTTTCACTAGAATTTCTCACAACAGACTAAATAAATGAAAACAATAGGAAAAATTAATGGAAATCATAAATTTAACATGGAAAAGTCCTTAAAAACAGCGGGCAATTTTGTGAAAACAACCGTTGAAAATCGCATGCTGCTAATGAAATCCCTGCTCCACCAAGAAAAAGTTTGGATTCTCTCTCCACTTCACAATTGTGATTCAGTATCATGTATTAACTTTGTTTTGTAGGCTAGAGAAGTTGTATTCAAAGGTACAGTTAGAGTTTGAGAGCCGTGATGGCAAACCTGGCAAATATGACCAAACAAAAACAGGTTCACGAAGATTGACGCAGAAGCAAATTGATGAACTAAGCACAGGAGAAGAGATCCACAATGCAATGCAGCAGTCATGTGACCCAGCATCAGTTGAGGTAGAATATTTAGTAAAATAGCAAGAGATATATTACAAAACACAAATCATTGTAAAATGCTAGCGCTGGCTTAAACTCAAATGTGTTCTATGGGCCTATCATAGGTAATTTACAAGATTAAACTAAATGCCTGGACTGGTGATTATGTCACACATTAATGCTTGTTTAAATTTGCATACAGGCTTGCCTGTCAAACACTCAGATGCAGCAGTACTACAGCTATAGACAGGTGCTAAATGAGAGGAAACAGCAAGAGATGCAAGCTGAAATACAAAGATCATTAGAAGACCAATCACAGGTAAGATACAAAGATCATTAGAAGACCAATCACAGGTGAGATATAAAGGTCATTAAAGGACCAGTTAAAGGTCATTGGAGGATCAATCAAGGATGAGATACAAAGGTCATTGGAGGACCAATCAAGGATGAGATACAAAGGTCATTGGAGGACCAATCAAGGATGAGATACAAAGGTCATTGCAAGACCAATCACTGGTAAGATATAAAGGTCATTTAAGGACAAATTAAAGGTCATTGGAGGACAAATAAAAGATGAGATACAAAGGTCATTGGAAGACCAATCACATGTAAGATACAAATGTCATTGGAAGACGAATCACAGTTAAGATATTAAGGTCATTGGAAGACCAATCAAGGATGAGATAGAAAGGTCATTGGAAGACCAATCACAGGTAAGATACAAAGGTCATTGGACATTGAGGACCAATCACAGGTGATATACAAAGGTAAAAAAGACCACAAACAGGTGAGATACATGTATACTTCATAACCAATCTAAGACTAGAAATAGAGGTCATAGTGCATGTACTATAACCAATCAAAGATGAAACAGATCAAGGATTGACCAATCAAAAGGCTCTTTTTCTTCATTTCTTCTAAACAGATTCATCTTTTCATTATTAATAAAAATCTTAAATTCTTCTGATTTGTATATAAGACGTTTTCTCGAATTTAATACAAAAACGCTGAATTGTGTTTATAGATGTCGTATGAGAGGAATGTTGTGCCCTTACTGAAGGTGCGAATTGCTGGCAGCCACACCAAAGATATTGACAGTAATACAAGTAAGACATGTTGCCACACTTCAGAATATGGAATTAACATAAAAATGAAGTTGTCAGCTAGCAAAGAGAAAAGCAATATGAATAAAATAAAGTTTATGCCAGAACATGATAAGGACATCAAAGAATATTTATTTGAATTTTTTGTTCACATTGAGAGGTGTTCTGATTAGAGAGGTGTTCGGATATACTGGTTTCACTGTATCTAGAATTATGAAATAAGTGAAACTCAAAATCAAATAAATTGTAAGATTATTATTAAAAATTTGATTTTTTATTTATTTATATATTATTTATTTACAGGTACATTACTTAGTATCTGGAGACCAAATGATGATTTGCAACAAGTCCTGGCAGAGGGGAAGTCTCTCAGAGTCTACAACCTTGTGGCATCCTCATCCTGGTCTAAGTCACATTCTACGAGTGTTCAGTTAACTGCATCCAAGATGACAAGATATGTGGAGACACCTATTGATGAAAATCTCATAGATTTACTTTACGAACCAAGAGAGGTAGGCAATCAGTGAAGTATGATATTATTTTTAACAAAGATCTGCTCGGAAATTACACCATCATAACACTATATACGACTCACTACAAGGATTATACTAAAAGTTGATTTGTTCAAACTGTAGACTCCCATCTGTATTATACTGATCCAAACAGTTCATGTTACCAGGTTTAGGACACGGTGTGAACTTGCTTGTATCATAAAGTTCAAACTGACTCATGGCTCCGACATCAAACAAATGCTGTGCATGGCGGTATATTTCTGGCCATGCATAATTCCTAACATTAGCCCCTGGATTTGTAGGTGCATTCACCCATTGACCATCCAGTAGAACCTTTGTCGGGATCTGTCTCTTTTGTAACATTTCATCAGATTGCATTCTGGGATGCCCAAAGATTTCAATATGCCAAAAATAAGTATAAATGTCAATAATGTAACTGTCCCATATGTTGGATGTATTTTGACGTATATCGAAAATATAACCAGCATTTTCAAACTCTTCGCTAAGCTGTGAAAATGCCTCAATTTGATTGGTTAAGAATATCATATCAGCATCAAGCTCCCATGGTAGTATCTTATTGAATTTGACGGCTCCTAATAATGTCCCGGCAGTAATTTCCAGAATGATTTTATTTTCATTACAAATGGACATTACTGTTTTAATAGCATCTGCTAGCTCCTGTAACTGACAGGGTGGTGTTGCCATGCCAATTTCAGTCTCCTTCACAGTATTACTCTCCTGACACGTAAAATGAAAACTCACCCCGTCAGGAAGGTTTAATTTATTTATACCCCAGTATGCAGCAAATGGGATCCAATCCTTTCTCTTGTGGATTTTTGTGTGTCTTGTATGAAACATACTATCTGGACAAACAGCTAGCCTCCTGTCTGACAATAGTTTCGTATCCAGGAATAAAGTCTCAAACAAGCCAGGGGAATTTCGCATACCAGTGTGGAATTTAATTTTTTTCAGGAATGATGTTTTAGCAAGAAATGATCCCTGGATGTGGTCACAATATATGCAATCATGCTTCGATTGTTTGTATCCACTTTTATATGAAACAGTATAGTTTTTAAACACTGTCTGCTGGCATCCCATATTCCAGTGGCCGTCTGGTGTCCTTAAAGCTCCACCTATAATAGGCACGTCTAAATCATCAATCTCTCGGATTAATCTATCCAGCGCTATATCATCCGTTATTAAATCAATGTTTCGGGCTACTAAAACGTTTGGGGTGTCCACTCGTAAAATTAAATCATTCCATATGTCAGCCTGATGTGAGGAGTATGAGATAAACTCAAATTGCTTATGACTCTTTGTTGGTTGAGTATGTGTCTTGCGTATCGCTATTTTAACTGGTATATCAGGAAAATATTGAACCATACCTTGTGAGATTCTTTCCACAGTTTGTATCATTTCCTTGTTTGGATATGAAGCTAGATTCATCACCATGGTTACCAGCAATGATTTAGGACTATGTCGACATGGTAATTTCTCAAACAAGTTTGGATAAAGATCATATCTCAAATCAAAGTAGGCTCTGCTTGTATACTTCTCTGGACAAACTGTGTAAAGTTTGTCAGGGTCAACCTCACTTAGTATGTAGTTATCTGGATTTTTATTTTGGACCATATCATTGGTTTTCTTAAACACTCCTTGTTCATTGGAATAAGTGTGTATGTTGTCTTTGTTGTTATGAAAATAATCCTGATTTGGATTTTGTATTGTTTTCGTAGTTTCACCTGGTTTTGGTTGTATTGTATTAAGCGAATCCACTGTATCCAAACCTGGTTTAAGAGTGTTCAGAATTTCGGTAATTTTATTTAATGAATACTCTGCAAGTTTCCTGATTTTGTCATCCTTATCTGCTTCGTGTTGAATTTCAACAACAAGTTCAGCCAATTCTTTGACCTTGACATACAAGACATCACTATTTCCATGCAAGTTTTCTTTGACAATGTTGTGATTCTCTTGCTGGATTTGACTAGTCTTTGTCAATTCTGCCTGATTAGTAAGAGGAATAACACTAAGTAGCACATTCAATGATATAAAGATAAAAACACCCATTACAAAATATTTTGTTATTTTTAACATGTAGCTCTTCCTCCCCATAGTTCTTGCTTCCAGTTCCAAGTGTTTTGAAGTTGAAATGGAAACCTTAATGGAGAATTGTAATTCTGCAGGTGTTGAAATTAAAAAGAAGCTGCTACTGGTTTAAATTCTAATCTTGAATTTCATTGATTTCTTTTCATTTGTATATACCTGTACATGCAGGTTATTAATTCAACATGAATACTGTACTCCTGGTAATTTTCGTGTGCTACTTTATTTCACATTTTTCGCGAGTTTTGGAAAATTTGCGAAATATATTAGCCATAAAATTCCTATAGTTCTAATTCCCGAAATATCAAATTGATTAGATAAAGAAGCTGAAAATTTTTTGAGAAGTCATAAATCCGCAAAAATTAATAGCTGCAAAATTTTGAATAACTGAAACTCAGCGATAATTATAACTTTTATTGACATATTGTATCATTACATTAGTCACAACTACTCACTAAGACTAACTGAAAACTACTTCTACATTTACAAAATAATGTACAAAATTTCATATGCATATTGCAAGCATACAAGAGAGGCAGAATATTTTTAAGTGTGATGTTCAAAATATGCTGACTATTCTAAATTGTTTAATGAGTGATATATAAATTTACCAAAATGTTGTTGTATGATTGTATTATCACTTGAAATTATATTTGTAAATAAATTATCACTATTCAGATCAAATATTGTTAATGTTTCAGATTGCTGAAAAATATTTGCCTATGTTGACATTGCTTTGTAAACCTAAATGTACTAATTGCTAATCTATATTTTTATTGTCTAACTTTGTATATGGTTCTAATGCAAAATCTTTCTTGTGTTCTTAATTTGGGATATGTCAGAATGTCTTTTTCCAATTTTCTACAAAAATATTCTTTAATTTCTTGTCAACCAATTTTACTAAGTGGTCTGTAATTTGACTTTGGTCATCCTGATCAAGTTGGGGTCTTTGTTGGATTTATGCGTAACATTGCGATGATTAAAAGCCGCGAAATTTCAAAATCGCAAGAGTGTCAAATATTAGTTCGAGTACAGTATTGCAATAGATGGGTAATATATCATATTGGGAAAGATATACAAGTGAAAATCATTAGAAATTCCTAAACCAAGTGATAAAATGAGGAATTCATTGGGTTATCAACATATTATAGATACATGATGTATAATGTTTGATACCTATAAGCTGATAAGCAAAAACCAATCCCCATACAAGACAGTATTCACAATAATTCAGATACCAACAATTATAAAACCCATGATGGCAGATGCTTGGCTTTAATTAACAAGTTATAAGATCTGAATGGACAGCATGTGTTTCATAATATATTACAATTGTAAATCAGATATACACTTATTGAAGATACGGTATACATAGAAAAAAGGTGTACATTGTTCTAGTATTTAGCAATACACTTGAAAACCGATCTAAAACGTTGGACCTGGGAAAAACAACAGAATTGTTCAGAGAAAACTTTTTATTGGTATTTAATTTTTTTTATTTATGTTTGCATTAATTGTGTACATGTGTTATAGGTGCTGAGTATATATGAGTTGAGCCAAGGGAACATGTTTCCATACAATGAAGTAGATGTAGTTGGAGTTGTCATACATGTCACTGCAACATCTAGCTACACAAATAACAGGTACATTTATATATACATACTGTATATTATATACATAATGTACATATATACATTGATATACCTATTATGTACATTAAGTCTGAAAATGACTATGTCAAAACAAAAAAATGTTAACAAAAACAGTAAAATATATATTAATAATTTTCGCATTAAATTGTTGTCAATCAGTGAACATTACATAAAGGACCATGTTTTTTACAGAATGTTTTCAATAATTGGTTTACAAGAAAAAAACATTGTTGAATTAAGTTCACCATATCTATACCAATCCTTTTGTCAAAGTTGATCCTCACTTACGTTACCCTTTATTCCAGTGGTGGTGTGAGCACTCTACAGACAGTGTATCTAGCAGATACGGATCACCAGATACTAGCAGTCAAGGCCTGGGGTGGGCTTAAGGTAGGCACAATATAATGGCTTGTCCTAATGAGTAATGTAAATATTTTGGACATTTAAATGTACAGACTTGCATGATGAATTTAAAAAAGATCGTAGATTGAATAAATATGTAACTTTTAGTCAGCTTTTGTCAAGGGGGGAGTCAAAATTGGCCCAAAATCATAAGAGAAAAGCTACAAGATTTTGAAATAGTAATTGTGGGAAAATGTATGGCTGGCATACTTCCTAATCTAAATTGGATTAAATGTTTATAGGCCTATTCATTGGAGGAGATTCTGACCAATCACAGTGTCGTTGCTGCTAGCAACCTACAAATGAGAAAAGATTCGAAGAGTAGAGTGCCAACTGTCAGTATTACGGATCCCTCTTCATTTACTCGGAACCCACGAGGTGGACATCTCAAAAATGCCTTGAATAAATTAAAAGATGCATTAAAGGTACCAAATATTAATATTCTTGACTTATTTTATTTATTCATGAATTCATTCTGTTGTTATAGACGAAAATAAAGATATGGATACATGGATTTATAAGATATAAAATTGGCTAAAATACTGTAATTAATTGAAATAATTATTATATTTTGCATTATTTCTTGACAATTTCTTTTTCTTTCATAGGATATTCCAGCATTTGTTGAAAAGCTGCAGAACAAATTGCATCAGACAGTTTTTGACGGAAACTCAAACCTCATCACCCAGGGGTCAAGGCCAGCCACTCCAGCCTCAAGGTCAACTGCCCAAGGGTCAAGTTCAACCACTCCAAGGTCAAGGCCACCATGGGTGCAAATAACACCTCAGAGTACATCTCTGCATAATCAGGTAAGTTTGAAGTTTTTAACCAACAGGTAGATCCTTATTCTAGCTGCATATATTGAACTTTGTGAATGTTACCAAAATTATCACCAACAATAAGATCACTGTCCTTCCCTATTGTAACAGACACAGGGTGTTTTAAGCCATCAACATTATAGAAATGGTTCTCTGGTGTCCAAATGTGTACCCTATTGTTGAAGGAGTCAGCTATGAACCAATTATCTGCCCTGTCTATACATATACCATGTGGGAAGTAATACTGACGTGGCCCTCTTCCATATTCACCAATTTTCGTTGCTCTCAAAACATTCCCAGATCTAGCAATAACTTCAACACTGTGGGAGTTCATATCAGATACTAAAATCTCTTCATTATTGCTGATGGCTAGGTAAAATGGCTGCATGTTGAGGTCAATGATGTTAACAGTTGCTCCAGTTGCCATATCAATGAAGTTCAGTGTGTTTGTCGCACAGTCTCCAAGTAGAAGTTCATTTTTGGATGTCGCTTGAATTCCCCACAATTGTTTCAATGTTGGAAATTCCATGTCTTTGAGATGAGTCCCATCTTTGGTAAAGAAGTGAACAGTGTTGGAGTTACTACTGGTAAAGACAAGCGTATGGTCCCTTATTATGGCTATTCTTCTTAAGCCTGTACCAAAGCTCTTGATGAGCTTAAACTTGGTATATATGTGGGCAGCACCAGCTTGGATAGTGAAGATATCATATTTTGTGAGAGCAACAATGTCTTCAATGCGCTTCTTAATTTTAAGCTTGAACTCTGTTGTTTTTCCCTTATGAATGCTTATGGTTGACTTGGCTGTATTTGTTGAAGGTTTACAGACTTCAGCTGTAGCATACAGGATCCCATCATCCATTGTCTGACTTTTGACAATTACGATTTCGATTTTTTGGTCATATTTGAGATTAGTGTCACTTTGCCACTCTTTCAGTTTTGAATCAATTTCAGTTGTCATTGTTGCTAATTCTGTTTGATGCGTGTATTTCTTAATGATGTTCAGATTACTGATTGTGTTTTCAATGAGTTTTTTTTGCTGTTGAAGATGATCCAAATGTGTCTTTGTTTGTTCTTCACAATCACTCCCTTTTGTCTTCACATTCTGTATCAATTGTGTGTATTGATCTTTAATGGACTGAATGAGTTGTTTCATGTCCTCATTCAGCTCAGCCACAGCCTCATTCGTCTCTTTGAGGATCTTGTCTTTATATTCAACAGTATCCCGAATGGCATTTTCATAGTCATCTACACGTGCATTTCCTTGTGTCAGAAGTATTTCAATATTTTTAACATTATCGTCTGCTACTTTATTTATGTCTTTACATACATGTCCAGAATGATCACTGACATAACATATTGCACAAACTACACAGTCATCCATATCACAGTATACATTTACAGGAATACCATGCTTTGGGCAGAGGATTGTCTGATCTTTTATTCTTTCTAGGCTTCTTTCAAGAATGTCTTTCGTTGTATCACCTGTAATGAATGACAGAATCATTGTCTAAAAGATCCATATCTTGAACCATGGTTTTGGTGTTGTATAAATAACCTTGTTAAATTAGACAAAATACATGTCTATAGTTTTTATTAGGTTTTATTAATTTCCAGATAAATCTCAAATTTTCAAAAAAAAATTCCTAAATTTGGTCAGCAAAATATTTAGTTTTAACACATACATGTTCTCTATGTTCATGAATGTTGAAAATTGAAAATGTCAATTTGAAAGAATATTTTTATTTGGTCCTAAGTGTAAATAAAAAGACAAAAATTACCTCTGAGAGACATTGTGGCATGTCCCTGTGCAAACTCATCGTGATAATTCTGACACTCGGCACATAGATTCTTCTTACAGTCAAAACACCTTATGACAGCTTCCACATCTTTGCCATGTTTCACCTCGCAAGTCTTACATGTCGGTGTAGACTCCAAGGATGTTACCTGAGATATCTCAACTAGAGTCTTTATGAGAATGCTCTCACGAAGTTCATCTATATCCATGATCACATGTGTTTTCTCGCACTCGTGGCATTTTATCTTGCTCGTTGTTTCTTCATTTTCGTCTGCTTTCAGTTTGTCCAAGCATTTGTGACAGTATGTGTGTAAGCATGGTAGGGTTTTAGGGTTTTTGAAAACCTTAAAACAGATTTTACATGTTATTATGTCACTAATACGTGTCTCCATGCTGAACTACATTATATTTTGTGCAAAAACAACATAATCAATTGGACTTTGGAACATAGAATTGATTCATACACAAGCTTTATTTACATTGCTATCAATTATTAGACTAAACTACCTAACTGTTTCAATACTGTGTTTGTGATTTTCTGTACAATTCATGTATTTATTTTAATACAGGATTTATCACAATTGATAATGAGACTGAAGTGTATGAGTTCCGCTATTAAAGCACATTTGGGTCAGATTTTCCAAGCATGTGTAATACAGCATACAGCATTTTGAATAGTTTCTCTTCCAATGATAAGATTTAGATATTTTATTCTTGGGTTGTCAGTATGACATTAAACTTAATAAGAGTTGTACTGTAGACTAGCTTCTTCTTTAAACACAATTAATGTCATGTGATATACCCATCCTAAAAAAGGTATTTTACAAGTTACTTCAAGTTCAAATGATCTGTTGATTTGAGTTTGAAATTTGACCTTCATCTGTAACAATTGTTACACTTTTGTAACCATTTGCAGGTGGTGACATTTTGTCATGTTAATGCCTTGTTTTTGTCATAATGGCAGTCAGAGACTACATATGTAACAATTGTTACACTTCTGTAACCATTTACAGGTGGTGACATTTTGTCATGTTAATGCCTTGTTTTTGGCTCACACAGTGAGCCTATGGGATTGACCAGGCGTCCGTCCGTCCGTTGGTCCGTCCGTCCGTCCGTCCGTCCGTCCGTCCGTTGGTCCGTCCGTCCGTCCGTTGGTCCGTCCGTCCGTCCGTCCGTCCGTTGGTCCGTCCGTCCGTCCGTCCGTCCGTTGGTCCGTCCGTCAACATTGGCCGCACAAATTAAAACTGCTATTCGGATTGAGTCATATCCACATTAATTTTATGCATATCCATAATGCCTATTTGACCTATCATCGCCATTTCCCAAGTTCGTCCGGTTTCCGAGAAATTGCGGATTTTGACGTCAAAAAGTCAAATTTTCTGTAAATACTAGACACTTTGTTGAAGTAGAACTTTCAAATAACTTTTAGTAGTTGGTGTATATGCAACTTATGTCCTCTGAAGATTTCAAAGCTCTTGGAATTACGCTTTTTGGTGTTTACTCTATAAAATTTGAAAAAAAGTAGGACTTAGTCATTTTCAGGAAACTTTCTCATGTATAAAGTCAATGGCAGGTTTTGTGATTGACAAGATTCTCAAAGTTTGCCTTATACTTGATCATTTCCTGCAATAAATTACATCATTAATAGATTTAAGCATTCCCTACATATTTCTCAATATATGTCAGCATCAAATTTTTACCGTTTTTGAGATATTTGACGTCAAAAAACAGTAAAAATAAGTTATTTTTCAACTTGCTTCAATTTGACCAAATCTTTTTTTGAAAATCATCTACAAGTTGCCAGGAGTTCAAATCTGGCATTAGTTTTAGGATTTGACCTTTACTTGACCTTCAGTGACCTTCGAAAGGTCAAAAAAGTTGATTTTTCAAATTGATTTTTGGATGTAAATTTTGGTCAGCTTAATCACAAAAGACCTTACTGAGCTCTGAATAAGTAAAATTTTCAAGGTCAAAGGTCATCAAACTAGGTCACACAACTATGCTATCTAAGTTTCTCAAAGTTCGAGACTACAAATCCAAATCAATATTTTTGTTTGAAAGTCAGGATATAAATTCCTCTGAAGGTTCCAACCTGTGTGAGCACAGGACCGTGGGTCCTTCATTATTTGTCATAATGGCAGTCAGGGACTACATATGTAACAATTGTTACACTTCTGTAACCATTCGCAGGTGGTGACATTTTGTCATGTTAATGTCTTGTGCTTATTTTGACAAGATTTCCAATGAACCTCACAGTCGCAAACGAATCCATGCCAATATATTGATTCTTTTCATTTCCATGTATCTATTTATTTGGTTTCTATTCCAGGATGAGGCTAAAGATGATTCCAAAAAGAGGCTCCAGGAATGGAAGGCCCAGAAGTTAGAGCGTTATGGTGTACCACCACCATTGGTTGGCCTCAACAGCCCTATCCCCAGTCATGTACGACAGGATTTCAAACCCCCTACTAAGCTAACAGGGACTCCTCCCCCTACTAAGCTAACAGGGACTCCTCCCCCTACTAAGCTAACAGGGACTCCTCCCCCTACTAAGCTAACAGGGACTCCTCCCCCTACTGAGCTAACAGGGACTCCTCCCCCTACTAAGCTAATGGGAACTCCTGGGCTAAAAACCAGGAATAAAGGTCCTGGTATAGAGTTTTCCCTTGTGACTACATCTGTGGAAGGTGACATTAAACACCATAAAGAGCAGGCACCTGTGAACAGGAGATTTATTCCCCTTAACCACAGTAAGCCAAGTGGTTTAACCAGAACTTCAAGTCCATATATCAGGACTAAAAGTCCTCTAACAATATCAACTAAAGATAGGATCAAAATTCCTGATTTATTGGATCAAGACAAAGAAGGATCAACCAAATTAAATAACAGTGAAACAAGAGATAATGTGGATAATGTGTGTGATACAAAACAAACTAAAAGTGATACTAAACAAAAGACAAGTGAACCAAATGAAAATAAAAGTGAGTTCAAACACAACTCGGACATAACAAACAGATGCATGACAGACACATGTGATAATTTGGATGCAGAATGTGCTCATCAAAGTGAACCAGAACCAAGTGCAGCTGATATCAAACCAGTCAGAGAGAGCAAGTCTGTGAAAGATAAAGTGAAAACTGCTGATTCAGAAAATTCTGAAAATAATATAAAACCTCGTAAGATATCAAAACGACGTAGAAGTAGTCATGATAATGGTGTTAGTCAAGAGTATAGTCAAAGTAGTGTACATGATAGTCAAAGTAGTGTAAAGGATAGTCAAAGTAGTGCAGAGTCTAACCCAACTAGGAGAAAATCTCTTAGGTCATCAAAGAGAAAGAAGATTTAAAAACTTTGGTCAGGCTAAGTTGCTAAATAATATGTTTAACATGTCTTCTATCATCTTACCTCAGATACCTTAAAATCAAGTCCATGCTGCATTTATTGAAAATAACTGATTTTAAGAGTTTGGAAAATAGTGATAGTGTCTCATCCCTTCGTTCCTTTTCAAATAGAGATAATTTATAAAACATATAATTTTATTACTTTAGTGTGACTTTACAGTTGTTTCCATTGACAGCAATGTGATGCTTTACAATGTAGTGTAGATTTAGTCAAATATTTACTTTAAGAATGGTATTTCTTGCTAAAACTTTAAGAATTCAGTCCATATTCTTTTATATCTCAGGTGGACGAACAAGCTCATTTTTCTAAATCAAAATTGCCTAATTAATACATACAGTTTTTTTTAAATATTAATTCAATGTTTACATAATAATTGATACTTTTTAGGCTTATCTTGTAAATTGTACTCATTTAGGGCTGATGGTCAACACCCTGGAAAATATATTGTAATTCTATGTAATTCAGTTTACATGTTTAACATAGCTCTGTTTACTGAACAGTTTTTGCCAATTTGTTTTGGTAACTTATCTCCAGTATTTTAATTTAAATTAAGTGATGTGTGATTATTTTTGAGGTCATTTTTGTAAGGGAAATATAATTACATGTAATAAATGTTATTATTATATCACTATCTAGCTAGCGACAGTATGATTGGTCAAAACCGGGTCACATGTCGTGGGATATCTGGCGATATTAAATGGCAATGCTAATCAGATAAGACAACCGTGAGATATCTAGCGATATCCCACGCTCCCGGGAATTTTCAAAGAATTTGTTTTCGTTCAGTGTAAATAATTTAGTTCAGTTTAAGTCAAAATGGCAGACGAACCAAGTAGATTCGTAAAAATATCTGAAGACTTAATGACTTAATAATATTAGAGATGTCTAGCTAGACAGTGATATAATAAAACAAATATTTCACTCTATTTTCGGTGAATACCTGTAGCACTTTCACAAGGTGATATTCCACTTGCCCTTCGGGCTTCGTGGAATATCACTTGTGAAAGATGTACAGGTATTCACCTCAATAGAGTGAAATATTTGTTCATTATTACATTTTCTTCATTATGCATGATATAACAAACCGGATAAAATCACAGGGAACTTTTTACATATGTAATATGTGGACTGTAGAAACCATGAATGTAAAATTTATGTAAAAAACTCTCTGTGGATTTAATTCTCTGTAAGAGCTTTGTTTTCATTATTTTTGTAAGGGTATAGTGTCATTGAGTTGATAACATTCAAATCAGTAATAATATAAAGATTCCTGTCAAAGTATCAACTATGTATTAATTCATAACATGTAATTGCAAATTGTTCAGTTGAAAATTTTAGTTTTTAAGTTTTCGAGATTTTTTTTAAAAAGATGGTGCTATGTAATTGTTTCAAATACATTTTGAAGCATGTTGAAATGCTTGTGAAGTTCGCTTTAATAAAACAGTTCAAAGTTAAGATATAAATAAACCTATAAATATACCTAAACCTTCTCGTCAATTTATCTCGAAAAGTAAAGGAATTGTTTGAGTTGTTGTAGTTTAATTGTTTTTATCTGAAATTAAGTTTTTATATCTCGACCTCTTATTCTGACAGCGTTTTATCTGTTCACTTAGCTCTATAAGTGAATATCTCAGCGAAATGTATCAGGTTATTACTTTCTCTTGCTATTAAACAAACACAAGAGGTTAGGGGGGGGGGTGTCCAAATATCAAATTAGTGGAAGGATGAAGTTAATTTCAGTTTTGGGAAGGCATGAATGCTCATTTCTCCAGTGAAGAATGTTGATCGATGTTTTGAAATTGTAATATAGATGGCGGGTTGGGGTATTAAACTCATAATTGAATTTAAATAATTTTTTTTATTTATAGAATTTTCAACATTTGGAGACCATCCCTTAGAAAGTGTGTTGTTAAAAAAAGAAAAAAACAACAGTAAAACCTGTGTTTACACACAATTTATCAGCCAGGAGTGCATTATTGTATCATTCTTTGTAATGAATATTCATGAATCCATTGATGTTACCATGGAAATCATGACTTCATAATAAGACAAAAATAGACTTATGAAATCCTAAATTTAAGAATGCTTGCAGCAATACATTCAAGATTATCACAATTGTTTACCAGCCATTTCTTGACTCTTATATATTTTCATTAATCTTTTTTCTGTACTTAATTTTCAAGAAAGTTCATCCCATCTTCACAAGCAAATTATGCTGAAGAATATTAACAATCTTTACTGCCATTTTGTTTCAGTCATCACTTGGTGTGTGAAATAAATTAAACACTCATGTTGGCATAACACTCAACCACTACAATAATACTAAATTAAAGGATTACCTTGTACATGTATTCAAAAAACGTTGATAAAGCCTGCTTCTAAAGAAGAGATAACAAAAAGTATATAAGTACACTAGTTATGACAAACTTTGGAAATTAAAAGTCCTTTTAGTATCTCGCGAAATTCCTTAGAATCTGGAAAACTGAAACAAAAAACCTATTAAACCACACCATACTTTAGATTCACCAGTTCACATAAACACGTTTTACTGTACTTGTATTCTCTAAACAAACTTGACTTAAGAGGGAAGATGGACTTCAATTATCTGCTATATTCAATGTTATTATGTTCAATGTGTTGTGGTCTGACATTTGGACAGGGAAGTGTCCCTATTGTTTTAGCCACATGGGGATTTGCACAACAGCCAACTGACAAAGGTAACACTTATAATAATCATCTTTGAGATTTATAGTGCATTATTCTGTTATCACCAATTCAAAGTAGTGGTACTGAGTGTTATAGCAAACATTTTTGTGACTGGTATAATGGTATTCAATATCTGTATCTGTAACGTATTTTTACACTTTTGGGATCATGACCTGGTGTTGCCATTTTGTTAATCCCTTGTGTTATATTACTATGATCAAAAACAAGATCAGCTATGGTCAAAAATATCAGCAATGATCAAAGACAAAAGACCAACTCTGCAGCTAAGGTCGAAGACAAGGCCAGCTATGGTCGAAGAGAAGACCAACTCAAAATATAAGATCAGCTATGATCAAAGACTAGACCAGCTATGATCGAAGATAAGATCAGCTACAGTCAAAGACAAGACCACCTATGTTCGAAGACAAGATCAGTTAAGATCATTTTGTCAAGTTAATGTCTTGTTTTATTATGTCACCACCACTGCTGATGACATACAGTATTGTTATAGTCTCCAACTTATTTGTGGATAATGCTCAACTTTTGGCATTTTATTTTATATTTATGATTTTCTTTATTTCATAGCATGGGAGAAACTCCAAGCAAATAAAGGCCCCTTAGATGCAGTACAATCTGGTTGTGAATATTGTGAGTTCAACCACTGTGCCTCATCAGTAGGTTATGCCAACAACTTTGATGAGAATGGGGAGACGACACTTGATGCAATGCTGATGGAGGGGTAAAGAGGCATTAGTATTATCATTTAAAGGAATAAGAATGGATGGAGAGTGCTTTCCAAGAAATGTCCAAAATAGGTAGTATTGAAATACGTGACATCCCAATCTCATACAAACCCAAGTGGTTCAAAATAAATCATTTTCAGAAATCTGTATTTGTAAATTTTGCATCAGTTTTGGAAGTTGTGATTTTATAAATAGTGAGGAACCATATTTATGTTTTAGAAAGACACATAAGGTTGGTGGTGTAGCTGCTATTAAGAGGGTAGTGAATGCTATAGGTGTTGCTAGGGCAGTAATGGATTACACAACACATACATTGCTTACAGGAGAGTCAGGTATATTGTATATGTATATGGCTCTATCATAGTTACACAATACAGTTGTGGATAGCTCTGTTGTAATGTGAAGCTACATTATTTTAGAGTTCAAATGCAACATTATTCCAATATGTGTCTATTTCAGCCACCAATTTTGCCAGGGAGATGGGGTTCCCTGTGTTAGAGAAAGCCACATTAACCAATGCAACATAATTCCAATATGTGTCTATTTCAGCCACCAGTTTTGCCAGGGAGATGGGGTTCCCTGTGTTAGACAAAGCCACATTAACCAATGCTACATTATTCCAATATGTGTCTATTTCAGCCACCAGTTTTGCCAGGGAGATGGGGTTCCCAGTGTTAGACAAAGCCACATTAACCAATGCAACATTATTCCAATATGTGTCTATTTCAGCCACCAGTTTTGCCAGGGAGATGGGGTTCCCAGTGTTAGACAAAGCCACATTTACCAATGCAACATTATTCCAATATGTGTCTATTTCAGCCACCAGTTTTGCCAGGGAGATGGGGTTCCCAGTGTTAGACAAAGCCACATTAACCAATGCTACATTATTCCAATATGAGTCTATTTCAGCCACCAGTTTTGCCAGGGAGATGGGGTTCCCAGTGTTAGACAAAGCCACATTAACCAATGCAACATTATTCCAATATGTGTCTATTTCAGCCACCAATTTTGCTAGGGAGATGGGGTTCCCAGTGTTAGAGAAAGCCACAATAACCAATGCTACATTATTCCAATATGAGTCTATTTCAGCCACCAGTTTTGCCAGGGAGATGGGATTCCCAGTGTTAGAGAAAACCACATTAACCAATGCAACATTATTCCAATATTTGAGGTGGAGATATAGGGACTGCCAACCTAACAATCGTAAAGTAAGTTCATAATCATAGGCAATAGAATCCAATTGTTCATGCCACCACTTAATATAACATCCATTCAGATTAAAGAAATATATGAGTTTTTATATGTTTATAAGGTTTAATTGATTTTATTCTTTAAGTTACGGAGGATTATCTTTGAAATTGTGACGTAATATTTTGTAATTTATAGAATAAATGTGATATCCTAAAACTTTCCAAGGCTATCAGCTTATTATCCCAACGAACGAAGTTCGGTAGGGATATAGTGAAGCCCTCCGTCCGTCCGTCCGTCAGTCAGTCTGTCAGTCCGTCAGTCCAGGGGCCGTGTATGGGGGGTCAGGAAAACAGAAATTTTCGCTAATTTTTAGATCTCTCTGAAGTATAGCTTTATTATACTCAAATGAAAGGCAATTAAGAGTAGATTGCAAATATTGTATTTTTTTTCTGATTCGAGCCTCGTAAAATTCAAAATGGCCGTCTAATGTACGATTTCGCAATAATTTTTCGATCCCTTCAAAGTATGGCTAGATTATACTCAAATTGAAGGATTTGTGGAGTAGATCACAATTATGGTATTATTTTTCAGATTTGTACCTCAGAAAATTCAAAATGGCTGCTTAGCAGAAATTCGCAATTCTAAAATCTAATTTTTTCAATTTTAACCAAAGTAATGAGTATAATTGATTGGAATTCGGTAATTGATATTTTGTTCGTTGGGATTTGCTACTCCGCGGAGTTGCCATTATCTAGTTCCCCTTTTCATAGTACCCATCTCCACTCTCACTGCACTCACTCCTGGAGATGGTTAATATCCACTCATGGATAAAAATTACGTTCCTCAAAAATTGTAGGATGTCCTGTATACATAGATACATATAAAAATTCTCATACAATCTTTTCCATGAAATAAATTGAATATTATCTTCTTGAATTTACAATTCAGAATGTGAAGAACAAGTGTTTGTGTGGCCCTTATTCTCCTTTAGACAGTGTTGAAGAACATTCCCCCAATGAACTTACTACCTGGAAAGACTTGATATTGCTCAAGAAACTAGCAGGAGATGCCTCAATGGAGAATCTGGATGATCATGATACATTAGGTTAGGTTGCAATAGATTATTTTACATTGATTAAAAGGGGTTTAAGTAATAGGGGTCGGAAAATGGCAGCAAAAATTTATTTTGCCAGATAGACTAGTCATAAAAATTGAAGAATTATCCATATATGAAGTCAGAGTTGTTGTACATATAAACTTGTACATAACTATACCTCAGTTGATATTATACATGATACAATGCATTATGCCTTTTTTATGGTGTCCATTAAGTCTCTACAATTGCAATACAAAGTCTCTAACCCTTGTAAAGAGACTTTTTAGGTCTCTACAATTGCAATACAAAGTCTCTAACCCTTGCGAAGAGACTTTTTTAGTCTGTACAATTATAATACAAAGTCTCTAGCCCTTGTAAAGAGACTTTCTAAGTCTCTACAATTACAATACAAAAGCTCTAACCCTTGTAAAGAGACTTTGAAGTCTCTTTGCAATTATAATACAACGTCTCTAATCCTTGTATACACCACAGTGGCGTAGCGTGGGTATTTTTGAGTGTACGCCACGAGGGAGCGAAGCGAACGATCTTTGAGGGGGGTTCGGGGGTGGGTCCTCCCCCAAGAAAATTTGAAAATGAGATTGCAGTTGAAGCGTTCTGGGGCGTTTTAAAATACGAAATTCCGACGAAATGGACTAATGACATTTAAATTATTGGTCATTTTATCCATTTTTAAAGTGTGAGGCAATTCAATCTAAAAATCAACTTTTCTCTAAATTTTGAGAGTATGCCATGGCGTTTTATGCGTATATGACGCTACGCCATTGCACCAGCCTCAGGGGACTAATAATAAGAATGATCGACCCATCCAAATTGAGTTTTTTAAAAGTTTTAAAATAAACAAGGCAAAGAACAGTCTATATATATTCATGGATTTGGCTTCACACCAGTTCTTGATAAAATCACCATGTTTAATATTTGTCAACACCACCTTTTTATTGACTGTGTTCGGCGGTCTGTGTCTGTGACAAATAGCAGGTGGTGACATTTTGCATACCTTGTTATATTTTGATTTGAAGGTGTATTGGCTATTGATGCTAAAGGTGATATTGCAGCAGGAGTGACCACCAATGGGATGAGACGTAAAGTGCCAGGGTATGTGTGCCTATTAACACCCCCCCCCCCTCTTTAATCAAGGGGGTTGTTCAATAGATATTAACACACAAATGCTCTATAACTTTCATTTTAATCAATGAATCAATTTGATATTTTCAGTGATTGAAGGTTGTGTCCATACTGCCCAAATTCTTATGAGTATTTTGCATTATTTTCATGTATTTTGCACACAGATGCCACTTCTGTGGGCAACATACGATACAACCCAACTAAATAGATTATGAAATATAACATAATACAAATTATTAAGGGATGGTGTCCAAATGTCAACAATAGTTGAAAAGCCAAGTTAATTTTGTTATGATTTAACTACCACCCCCCCCCCTCCAGCCCCCTTTCGCTTTTATAAAGAAAGTTGATTTACACACATTCCTGCGGCAAAAAATCATGATTTACAGTAACAACAATCATCATTTACCCTTCCAATGTAATAAAATTTAAGTTTTCAATAACTACATGTACTTGCATTTTAACACCATTGCTCATTTTGTATTTCATTGTAGAAGAGTAGGCGATTCCCCAATCCCAGGTTCAGGGGCATATGTGGATAATGATATAGGGGGCGCTGTGTGTACTGGTGATGGAGATATCATGATGAGATTTCTACCCAGGTAAAATAATTGGTACCAAATAAATCACCTCTCACAAACCTGTTTGCATTTTTTATGTGGCGTTAAACCTTTTGAGTTTATGTGAAGAGAATATATTCCTACATGTAATTATCGTATGATCTGTAAAATGAAGCCTTCTGATTGGTCAGTTCTTGTGCTGTACTAATCTGTATTGCTACTGAGATTGTCCCAATTGATCATCTCCGTCGCAATACAGAAAATATTGGTACGGAGGGAACAATCTCAGTAGCAATACAGAGGATCACACGATAAAAACGTTGTATGATTACAACTTATTTTCTGACATGTTACAGTTACCATGCAGTTCAGATGTTACAGTTTGGATTGACGCCCACCCAGGCAGGACACGATGCCATGCTCAGAATCTTGAAAGTTTATCCTTTCTTCTCAGGGGCCTGTATTGTTGTCAATAAACAGGGAGAACATGGTGAGAAAACAATACAAGGAACACATTCCATAAATGAGTCAACTCTTATTACCCTGCCATTGATATACTCATAACATTTTTGATCATTGATATACTCATAATATTGCTATACTCAATGGTGTACTCATAATATTGGTCTACTCATTGATGTACTTATGATATTGATATACTCATTGATGTACTATTGGTGTACTCATTGGTATTTATAATATTGGTAACTCATTGATGTGCTCATAATATTGGTGTACTCATTGATAGACTCATAATATTGGTCTACTCATTGATATACTCATAATATTGGTCTACTCATTGATGTACTCATAATATTGATGTACTCATTAATGTACTCATAATATTGGTGTACTCATTGATTCTTAGGTGAACATCTCTCATTGTGTAATAACTCATTTACAGATCCCTGCTACCTATTATGTTACACCCACCCATCAGAGGACAATCTGTAAACTTAACTGTTCAAAAAATATTTTGACCTTTTTCAGGAGCAGGGTGTACTATGGCTCGGTTCCCTATGTATGTGAGGACCAGTAACATGGATAGTGCCACACTTTTGAGAGTAAACTGTACAATACCTGAGACACCATATTTTAATATAAAGACTTAGGGCAACTTTGTAAATGAGGACCAGTAAAATGAATAGTGCCACACTTTTAAGAGTAAACTGTACAATACCCGAGACACCATATTTTAATATAAAGACTTAGGGCAACTTTGTAAATGAGGACCAGTAACATGAATAGTGCCACACTTTTGAGAGTAAACTGTACAATACCCGAGACACCATATTTTAATATAAAGACTTAGGGATACTATGTATATGAGGACAAGTAACATGAATAGTGCTACACTTTGAGAGTAAACTGTAAATACCTGAGACACAGTCTTTTGATATAAAGACATAGGGCTACCCTGCATAATAAGTCACATAGTATATAATGCAGCTGTCACACTTAGGACACGTGAGCTCACCGTTTGCCCCCATGTGGATACTTTGGGGCAGATGGCGGAGCAGGGTGATAGGTTTGCAAAACAAATAGTCTTACACATGTATCCCCCATCATACTAAATACAAAAATTAAGTTAAGAATATCATTTAATGTCCAACACTAGCCATACGGTGGCGAACGGCGACCTCATGCGGCTAATATGACAGCTACTAAGCGAGAACCAATGAAATGGACTATGGGTTACCTTTTCACTGCCTGATTCCCCATTCTTTGACAGAAAGATCTGGAGTCCTCATGTATTACAGGGCCCTTATTTAAGTGTGGAACAATAACATGCATGGTGAACTGTGCAATACTTGAATCCTATTGTTTGATAAAAAATACCCCTGTATAATTAGACCCCTTTGTATGGGAAATCCACCAACATGAATTGTGTCTTTCTTGAGTGTAACCTATAATATCCCATTGTTCTATACCTCTGTGTATGTGAAAACTCAACTTGACAATTAAAAAACATTTGAAAAAATGTAAAAGTTTTCATATCCAAGTTATGTTCAAAATTACAAAAGACCAGTTTGTCTGCATCTGGGCTCCAAGATTATACGAGGAGTTGTTGTAAAGTTCTCTTAATAACTCTATAATCTATTTATTCTGTTACAATGGCAACCATTTCATATCTAATATATCTGTTATAGTATAACAATTGTGGGGTTAATACAAAATTCTATGCTGCCCATTCTCGGAAAATTTCAATAGAATTCAAATATAGTTAAGAGATAATATGAGAACTTTATGATCACCTCTCGTATGTTGATAATTCGACTCTTTCACCCTCAATAAGTTGTGGTACAAGTGGCAACTATATGTTTTATACTTAATAATAAATAACGCAAAGTATTTTATATATTTTAAGAATCGTTTATTTCATGCTACAAATGACTGCATATATACATAAATAAAGAAATATATATTATGATATTAAATATTTAACTTGTATAAATAATCTGATAATGTTGCTCATAATTTGATGTTACTCATTCGTTGTTTGGGGTTGTTTTCTCTATGAATATCCAACAAGCCCCACAATTCAAAACTTGATATCATTCGAAAAACAATGGTCTGTGTCAACGTTTTTGTAAACTAGCCACATAATATAATGTTGCCACACACATAACGTAACAAGTTTAATGGACAAGCAGTTTTTCAGGAATATTGATAACAAGATTTATGAAAAAACGGCAGATTTATTAAGAATTCAAAATGGCCACCATATAATAAGCCAGCATACTCAAAGCATAATTATTATATTTTGGCACTTGTCTGCTCTTGCATCTGTAAATATTTCAAGTTTAATGAACAAGCAGTTTTCCGGAAATATTGATTACACGATTTATGAAAAAACTTCAAAATGGCAGATTTATTAAGAATTCAAAATGGCCACCATATAATAAGCCAGCATACCCAAAACATAATTATTATATTTTGGCACTTGTCTGCTCTTGCATCTGTAAATATTTCAAGTTGAATGGATGAGTGGTTTTCCTGGAAAACGTAACCATGCACAATCTTGATTTAGTACTGAAATAGATACAGCCCAGAAAACAGTTAGCAAGTACATTTCACAACTGGCAACATTATATAGCAAGAATTACAGCAAACACGATATAATTTGAACAATCCAACACTACAACGACATTTCAATTGTTGTCGTCGATATCACTAGAATATCGGCCACTCTCCTCGCAGTTCATTCACTTATTTGCCGATGAAATATCGAGTTGGAACATCTTGATCTAATCTTCGCAGGAAAAATGCAGCACCAGTCAAGGCAATTTTCTGTAAATTAATAATTATGGGGTAGAAAAATAAGGAATACAATTTATATACAGTAGTCCCCAATGAGAAACTGTCACCATTTCAAGTGCAGCCAAAGACATACCAGGATACATATTCTTCTGAAGAAACAGGATTACTTTAATCAAAACGTGAGATAATATTTCAAGTAAAACGTTTTAATTACTAAATTGTAACATTATTGTTTTCAATGAGTAATCCTGAAATTAAACCGCATACACATGTATGTTCATACCTTTTACATTTAGTTTTCCAATGGTAAATGGCAGCAATGTAATTAATACTATTAATGCCAAAACAGCGCAACCTCCAGGCACCAAGCATAGTATATTCTTATAGTACCACTCACAAGCAGTACAGCATGCCACAAGGTCCCTGGAAATATTAAAATACTTTAAACTATAAATTAGTCACAGGCTGGTATCGAAAGATTTGTCCGCTGTGACGGAGCATGCTATTTTTCATAAAAACACTAAGAATGCTTCACGATTTATTTTTTAACTCATATGTTTCGTTATATCAAAGATAATTACTTACTCCATGCAATGGATATATCATTTTCGTGTAACCTTCACTTCTGTTTGAAGTCCAATAAAGCTAGGAGTAAAATCTATTGAAAACGGCGCAAGAGTATCAAACTCTAAAATGTACCATTTCTTTTTTAACTTTTTAATGGCATGATATAGTGACACGATAATATTAACATATGTTTTAAGCATAACGCTGAATGTATTAATGAGATGCATTGAAGTCTTTTTAATTTTTTTATAAAAAATAATATTAATATTTTTTGTCCGCTGTGACGGAGCATTTTCACAGTTCACATTTGCAACTGCTCCGTTACAGCGGACAAAAAATTAAACATTTTTTTTATAAAAGAATTAAAAAGACAAAATACATCAACATCTCATTTATACCTCCATAGTTATGCTGAAACCATGTGTAAATATTATCGTGTCACTATATCGTGCCATTAGAAAGTTAAAGAAGAAATGGTACATTTTGAAGTATGATACTCCGGCGCCATTTTGTCCATAAGCTACAAGCTTGAACAATTAAGATCAACTGCCATGAATTGGGCCATGAATGATATTTACGTTATCAAATATTATACAGGGTGGGCCCAAAAAAAACAAAACACAAGTTTAAAGATGAATATTTTATGATAAATGTTAATTCATACAATGCCATGTTTTATATATCATTTTAAAGCTGAACAATATGACACTATCCGATTCAAAACCTTTCTTTTCTTGTGGTGTAAGAGGCTAAAATGGATGCCAGGGATGTCATGAGCGACCAAAAATTTAAAAAATGAAAATTCCTAATTTTCCTCCACATTGTTGTCACAGCTGCACTCAAAATTCATTCAATTAATCTAAAAGTAATACACAATTGATAATTAAAAAGATATAAGTATTACTGGTGAATTTTACACTAAACTTGTATAAATGTATCTCTTTTGAAGGTGCCAATAAATCAATTTTCCACCATTTCCACAATTATGGAAATCTGCAGTGAATAATTATTTGGTCGCTCATGACGCCCCAGGTGTCAATTTTAGCCACAATTTTAACTCCACAGGTAAACAAAAGTTCAGATGATGTCATATTGTTAGAAAATGATTTATATCTTTAAAATTATATACGTATATAATTCATGACCTGGTTTAACATATCATATGACATTCATCTTTTAGTTCGAACTTGTGTATTGGGTTTTTGGCCCACCTTATTTTATAAAAAATGATGGTAATTTTGAAGTTCAAAAAATTTCTTCTTGAGTAGAGCCCCTAGATATCAGTTTATAAAGTTTGGTGGGTGAATGAATGGATGGATTGATGGATGGATAGACAAATCATGGGCTTCCAATTAGTTTAAAGCCCATGGACGAATGGACGGCTTTTCTATATCCATACGATTAGTTTTTGCAGCAGATATTTGAAAAAAACGGATGTTTTTGAGGTAGATTTAAAAAAAAGCAGTGGTTTTACTGTGAATTTCTGAAAAAACTGTAGTTTTTGCGGTAGAATTTGAATGGTCGGTGCTGCAGTAGGTTCTTTTACAGTAGATTTTTCAAAAATGGAAAGGATTGGTATCGATATTGAGAACTGAATTCAACAATGTTTTTCTCTTAAACCAATCATTGAAAACATTCTGTTAAAAAAACGGTATTTTATGTAATGTTGACTGATTGACAACAATTTAATGCGAAAACTATTTAGAAATATTTTATGTAACTGTTTTTGTTAACATTTTTTGTTTTTTAGTGCAATTGTTTTTGCTCCTTTCTACCAATTCTTGAGAATGAAATAAAATGTCTTTCCGAACCTTGTTGGAACAAAATCGCATATACAACATGTTTTTAGACCTCTCAATAATATAGTTATACAAAGGAATTTTGGGTTGATTTTAAAAAAGTATTCAAAAAATTAAAACAAAATCCCCCCAAAATGGATAAAAATCAAGATAAACCTTTTATTTCATTAACAAGATACTTTTTTAAAATCAACCAAAACTTCCTTTGTACAATTACAATATTGAGAGACCTAAACATGTTGTGTTTATGTCGTTTTGTTCCAATGAGGTTCGGAAAGATGTTTCATTTCACTCTGGAAACATGATACCAAGAATATAATATTGGTTTACAAAACAAGTGTTTGCGGTGTTTTGTAAACCAATATAGATGAAAGTATATATATTTTTTTCAAATAATATTGTTACCATCCAGAAGATGACCATTAAATTGACGATGTGTTAAATTTTCAGATTTTTTTTAATGACTGGTTTAAGAGAAACGTGTGTTCAAAAAGTTCTCCATATCGATACCACTCCTTTTAACGTTAAATTTTCAAAAAACGGGAGTTTTTACGGTACTAAATGCTTGTTTGTGTCTCATGGGTTGTGAATTAGGTTGCGTCCGATTGATTTATGATGGTTTGATGTTAGGTTGTGGCTCATTATGTTGTATTAATTCAACAGTTCGTTGCGTGATTTACTGGGTTTGGTTTATTATTGGGTTGTGTCCGATTGGGTTGTGTTATTTTGACAGTCGATTGTGCTTTGGTTGTCATTTATCTGTTTGTGCTTGATGTGTATGATGAATGGCTGTGCGTAAAGGTGTTTTGGTTGTGTTAGATTGACAGTCGATCGTGTTTTGGTGGTCATTTATCTTGTTTTATCTGGTTGTGTTATGTTAGTTTGGTATATCCAGTTGTTCCAAATTGCTTAATGTTAATTTGACAATGAGGTGTGTTATGTGTGGATTGTGTTATGCTGGTTGGGGTTTTGCAGAATTGAGTAGCTATCGGGTTGTGACCGATTATGTTGTGTGATTTATGTTATCTCAAGTTTTAGAACGTAACTTGTTGGTTATCACCGTTTTGTTGTGTTTTGGCTCAGTTTTTACATTATAAAAGATTTATACATTTTCCTGGACGCGAAACTGAAAGAAGTGTAATTCTGATAATCAAGATCACAGACTTTGGATTTATTTACTTATTTCAACAAGACCAGTTCATCCAAGCTAATTACGCCATGGCAACCTTGTTGGCTGCTCGAGTGTGTCAACCGCGCCAGTTTGTTGCTAGTGCACCACAGGAGTTCGATTGAAATAATTTCTTATTTAATAACGGTAGATTTTAGTAGAAAAACGGGACGGGAGATTTTAGGGGAGAATACGGTACGGTAGTTTGTTATTTTTTACGGAAACACAAAAATTGTATGATAGATTCCCCTCGAAGACGGGACGTTGGCAGGTCTGAGACCAATAAACACTTAATTTTCTTACCCACATGGGTGCATCTTCTGTATTAGTAGCACCGCTACTCCATTTGACAGTTTATCTGTGAAACTCATAGTTCCATATACGAAAGCCCCACTTCCCTGAAATGTACACAAAGATTTATATATTATTATATCCATAGCTACAAGAATTTGAGGTGAATTTAAGGGTTTCAATGAAAGGAATCACACAAAAACATAGACACGGACGATTTTTGTCTTGAAAAAAACACAATATCTAACCCTTCTATCACACCAAACTAGTTCTCACTACGTTCTAGAAAACGGGCTTCAACTGTGTACGAACGGACTGGACGTAGAACCTCGAACGGGTAGGTCCTCAAGAACTTAGAACATGCTCAAAATGTTCTCTTGGTCTCACGTTCTACGATTAGAACGAGTGACAACCTACTAACGACGATGTTTCGTACTACGAACGGAACTGTCGTACTTCAATCCTACTAGGGACGTTTTTACAACGAGTTAAACTGTCTGAGGACGTATTGAGAACGAGGTAGAACTAATTGCAAACGGGTTAAAACTGATTAAGAACGTATTTATCAACGTGTTAGCAAAAATATAGCTATCACACCAAGCAAGTTGCCACTGCGTTCTTCAAAACTGGTTTTAAACTGTGTGCGAACGGAATGAACGTAGCTACAACGTTCTCCAGTCTGTTTACGAACTTCATGGACTTTCCCGGACGGGGAATGTGATCTAGAATTTTGAATCGACTCAAAATTCGATGGCAACCATACCGTTCTGTAATCAGGTCATGATGACCTTCTAGACTAAGGGACGCGTTATACGACGTTGCACACCGACGTGGTGCGACCTGAACGAACTGCGAATGAGATGGACGTATTGAAGACTGTTTATGAACGAAGTAGCTAATTATTTTAGACATATTTCCCGACCACAGCCAGATTGAGCCCGTTTTACGACGTTTTCGTAGGACTGGCAAGAACGGGTAAGAACTAGTTTGGTGTGATAGGGGGGTAACTTACAGTGTTCTCCCCGATAAGATCAGCCGTCATGGAGAGAGATGTGACAAGGATTATTGATCCTCCGGCCCCCAGAAATGCAGCAGGGGCGAACACTATCAGATTAACCTGTTTCTGAAGGAATGAGAATCCCACACAGCCCCCTACCGTACAGATAACCCCCAGCATATAGGCACCCTGAAATACATAGAGGTTATTTAATGGGAGGTTTTTGATACAGGATATATCTGAGGGAAATACAATATATCCACTCGAGAGACCATAGGGACCGAGGGTTGATATATTGTATTCACCGAAGGATATATCCTGTATCAAAAATCGAGCATTTAATAATTGATTTATAGCCTTAGTAGATTATGAGGATTAAGTGTGCATTGAATGTTATATAGAACCTAATGTAATTATTGCAAATGATAATAACAATCAAAAAATGAATATTTTATCTCAATTTGAAGTTCTTAACATTTATTGTTTTTTTAAACTCAACAGCTTTTAATATTTTACAGTATATGAAATTAATATCACTCCAATATAGTCAAAAAGCAACAAACGAAATTCCCAGGGATTGCTGATAAGCGGGTCACATGATATATATATTTCCATCTTATATTTCCCGCTTAGCTCAGTTGGAGATATACAGGGCGTATTAAAAAAACGCAACAAGAAGTTATCCAGTAAAATCACAAAACCAGTGTTGACTACATCAATTTAATTCAATGTACCATAAAGCCACGTCTCTCCTCTTTGCAATGGTATGTCATTCATTCACATGTGGTAATGATTGGGTGAGAAATCCTTCCATTTGCACAGTGGGTCAAAATAGGCCCTGCTCCAAGTTTTAGATATTGCAAAAATCAGTACAAGGGCTAAGTGCCAATGGAAGTTCCCCTGACTTGAATTGTTGTGACTTTTTCTTTTGGAGCTATCTCAGGAGCATCTGTGCTCACAATTCCTCCACCAGATATTGCAAAACTTCGAGAAAAAATTGCCCATGGGCTGCTTTTCTCTGATTTAACCCACAGATGACTCAGGGCTGAACCATGCATAACATGGACAGATGAGCGCATCTTTATGTGCAAGGAAGTGGTGGCAATTTGGAGGGGATATAGGATGTATTCTTGCAAGAGTATGAGTATGAACACTTTATACTGTCTCTGCCACACCTGTCACACCTCCTTCAAATAGCCCCTATGTCACTTGTACTGACTTTTGCAATGTTTAAAACTTAAGTCCGAGCTGAATTTTACCCCACTTTGCAAAATTAATGATTTTTCGGACAGTCATGACTCCCTGTGAATGAATGATATTCCATTGCAAAGAGGAGTAATTTTGCTTTTTGGTACATTGAATGAAAAGGATGCAGTCAGCATTGGTTTTATGTTTTCTTGCAATGTTGCATAGCGCTCCGTACACTGATTTTTGCGATGTTTATAACTTGGTCCCAAGCTAATTTTGGCCCACTTTGCAAATGGAATGATTACTCGCCCAACCATGACCAAATATCAATGAATGATATATCATTGTAAAGAGGAGACATGTGGCTTTATTGTTCATTGAATGAAATCAATGCTGTTATCACTGGTTTTGTGCTTTTCCGAGATAACATTCTGTTGCGTTTTTTTTTATACGCACTGTATATATCACCCGCTCACCTCAGATATCGATTATATTCCCATATGTTATTTACCTATAACACTACTAAGTAAAGGATAAAATTGTATACATGATATTGTATTATTTTTGAAAGATCCATGACATAAGTTCATTCCTTTACCTGTTTAATTACTATCCAGTATCCACAGTCTTGATATGAACTATGTATATTTCAATTTTCGAATTTATATGTAACATCAATTTCACAAATGTTTTTTTCTGAGATTCACGAAGATTTAAGAAATATTCTTGTGAAAGTCAAAGAGTACTATATGTTAGCTATTTCAGATAATCATGCAAGAATTGGGATGGTTTCCCTTATTATGAATAAAATAGATACTATACCTTCGACCCGACTACGTAATTAACAGGCTTCATGAGGAACGAAGAGATAAACCCGCTGATATATACAATCAGTGGTACAATGGCGATGTAATGTTTCTTCAAGCTTAGCGTGTATGTAAGGTACATAGGCAAGTAGATTTGGGATATATTCACTACCAGTCTTGTAAACATGTAGAGAAGACCGATCTGAAATAAAGAATATGATGAATTAATACAAATTCCAGCCACCTTCCTCTAGCTACATCTAACCCTACTATCACACCAAACTAGTTCTCACTACGTTCTCGAAAACGGGCTTAAACTGTGCACGAACGGATTTGACGTACTATGAACCCACTAAGAACTTACTCACTTCGAGAGCCATGTTAGATTTTGAAACTTATGGCTCTCAAACGGAGAAGTGAACAGCTGATCAATAGTGACCTTTGAAATTGAATTAAGTCGATCCGCGGCTTACTTTTGGTCTCTAACTGTGTCTTACATCAGTATCATCAATCCGTGTAAGTATTGGAGCGCTGGAGTACTTCTTTTTCGATCAAGACTTGTAAATTGTTCATCGAGTTAAAGTTTTACAGACCTATTTCCAATATGGCGGTTTGCTAGGTGCGAGATACGCAACGAACGAAATGAATTTTGAGAATTAGTTAGGTTCGGACAACCTCCGGAGATTTACGAAAATGTCCGAGCAGAAACCGCCATATTGGAATTTGGCAGTAAAACGATTCACTCGACTAACGAATTACAAGTCTTGATCGAAAAAGAAGTACTCCAGCGCTCCAATACTTACACGGATTGATGATACTGATGTAAGACACAGTTAGAGACCAAAAGTAAGCCGCGGATCGACTTAATTCGATTTCAAAGGTCACGATCATTGAGCTGTCCAAATGCTCCGTGGGAAAGCTATTATATCAAAATCCAAATAGCTTTCGCAGGAAGTAACTAAGAACCGTTTGGGATTTGTTTACAAACTTCATAAAACTACTCGAACGAGTAGGTCCTCGAGAACTTAGAGCATGTTCAACATTTTCTGGTGATCGTCACGTACGAGTGACAACGTACTTAAGACGACCTGGACATACTACGAACGGAAGTGTCGTACTTCAATCGTACTAGGGACGTGTTATGACGTTGTGTAGGCAGGCGTAAATTGCAGCCGTGAGTACCCCAATCAGGAAAATAAGGGATTAAAAATGCGTAATGCACGGATTAGGGACACGACACGATGTCTACTATTTTAGAACGAGTTCAACCGTATGGAAATTTGGTGGATAATTCAGTTACATATAAGGACGTATTGAGAACGAGGTACAACTTGTCAACTGGTTTAAACTGATTAAGGACGTCATATAACTACTTGGATACATTGTGTAGACGAGACGAATGCACAATTTAACCCGATCTTAACTTAATACCGACGTACTGCAGACGGAATAAAGACGAGGTGAACGTATTAAAAACTGCTTATAAACAATTTAACAAAAATAGCTATCACACCAGAACAAGTTGTCACTGCGTTCTTCAAAACGTTGCCGAATCGGTTTCAAATTGTGTGCGAACTGAATGAACGTAGCTACAACGTTCTAGGGTCTGTTTACGAACTTCATGAACTTTAATTTCCCGGACGGGGAATGTGATTTAGAATTTTGAATCGATTCAAAATTCGATGGCGACCATACCGTTCTGTAATCAGGTCATGATGACCTTTTAGACTAAGGAACTCGTTATACGACGTTGACACCGACGTGGTGCGACCTGAACGAAGTTGCAAATAAGATGGACGTATTGAAGACTGTTTAATGAACGAAGTAGCTAATTATTTTAGACATATTTCCCGACCACAGCCAGATTGGGCCTGTTTTACGATGTTTTCGTAGGACTGGCAAGAACGAGGAAGAACTAGTTTGGTGTGATAGGGGGGTTAAAATGAATTTTGAAGAAATTTGGGTGGAGACTTTTTGCATTTTTCGAAAATGAGGACAACATCTGGAGAGAGCTAGCACCCTCGTCGACCACCCCCCCCCAGCCCAAAAAACAACTAAAAAACAATTACAATGGAACTCAAGCAGTTATTTGATACCTGGTATAATTGTCGCTGTTTGAGCCAATCTGTAACTGTTAAACACTTTCTGACTTTTAGCTGTCCATTAATGAAAGGTATTTTCTCCTCATCAGTATCCTCAAAGGCAGAATATGAGCTCCGAGGCGTATGAGGCTCCTTATCTTCTTCAGATCCCTCATGATTGTGTTCCTTAACCCCAATATGAAAGATAATGCTAAATACTGCACCCAGTCCTACCACAACAAATGTGATATCCTGAAAAGCATCAGAAATTATAATTATAATTTGAAATTGCAGCTATAACACAGCGTAAACAGCATTCATTCAATATTGATAAGCGAGATGACCTATCAATAAAAATTACACTTGTATTTTGAAAGTTGAAAGGTTTCTTTGTGATTTTATACAAATGTGAAACATTAAATGAAAATGTGCTACCTCTAAACAAGCGGTGTGGGTATCCTTAAAGTGACAAATATCCGCAACGCTTGTTTAGAGGTAGGTCATATCCGATAAATGTTTTAAATTTTTTAATTCACACAGAAATGACTTTCAAAATGCAAAAATATTTTTTTATCGAGAGGTCATGGCGACCATCAATACTGAATATAAGAGTTTAAACGGTTTATTAAAGCGGCAATTTCGAATTATTTGCTTTGGAGAAAGGATGAATTCTTAGTGTGTCATTAAGGAATGAAGTATATACAACTATGGACACATTTCCCCTTTATTAGATGTCCTATACAAATGGGTTAATATAATTGAGCACCCAACGTGCCTTAGTTTATGAAATATCACAAATTCAAAAATGACCGTTAAAGTCTGTACCGTGTTCTCAGTAATGGCGGATATTTTTTTATTTTATTTATTTATTATTGCTACTAACTCGATAAAACGCCTGGGCTGGCTTGAACTGTCTAATATGGTCCTAGCCAGGATAATTATATCAGTTCCTGTCAGATTAATACGGGGAGCTGTTTCTACCGCAGGTTTATGCCCTATGGTGTCTGTGTGAGATAATAGAATAGGTGAAAGTACACATCCCCGTTTAAGGCCAGATTCAACTCCGAACCATTATTCACTGACAAAATTCCAAATATAACTTTGTTTTTGACACATGCATATACATTTTCAATACACGCCTGGCCTGACCCTGGATTTCTTTCTTTCAGAGAGATATGAAAATATATTTCACGATCAATAACGTCGAAAGCTTTAGATATGGAACAGAGGGTAAGAATCCAAATATTTAGCAGCTACAGTTTTTAAAAAATCCACTAGAGTTTTTAAAGAACCTACCGCAGAAGCTGGCATTTTTCAGTTTTCAGAATCTACTGCAAAAGCTACAGTTTTTGAAAAATCTACCTCAAATACTACTGCTTTTCAAAAATCTATCGTAAAAACTACCCTTTTTCTAAAATTTACCGCAAAAACTGCTGCTATTTTTAAAGGAATACTTTTAAAAAAAATCTTCGCACTTCGCAACTACCGTTCTATCTAAAATTAACTCTAAAACAACCGTTTTTCAAATCGACTGCATAAACTACCATTTTTCTAAAACTCCCGCAAAATACATGTTTCTCCCGCATCTTAAAAAAATACCAGAAAAACTATCGGATTTGGGAAAAAATCGATCGCAAAAGTACCGAAATTAAAAAATATACAGGCATAAAAATTTGATTGAACTGGCTATGATTATTGACTTACTCTGAATTTTGATGTGTCTTGGCTGGACAAGGTGCCCTTTACGTCCACAACATCATTAGCATTGTCTGTTTGGTGGATGCCCAACATCAACCATGTGATGAGATAAACCAACAGGTTTGAGATCACAGTGAATGCATACCTACAAACATACTCCGGAACTATAAAAATTACATCATAACACATAGATGGCATAAAGTTTAGTGGATTGGACTACAACGTAAAGTGAGACAGTTTGAAAAGGTAAGGTATTTGAAGCAAGAATTCTAACTTAGGCAAATGCCTCTACTGTCTTTGTACAGGTACAGGCCTGAGTAAAATGGGTCACATCACTTGCTTCCGCTGTCATAGTAAGCATATTCAGATATCACATGAAAGCCCCAAAATATCGAAAGTTGAAAAAAGACATGCATAAATGTACTAGTATATGATAGTAAACATTTAATCTATATGTATAATATATATCACATTTAATCTTTAAAAAATTCTAATACCCTACCTAATTGCACTCTCCTGTGAGTTAGAGGTCAGATCTGGTATGAGAGAGAGATGGAATATTTGTGTTGATGCCCATCCAAATTGGAAAATGACAACAAAGAAATGATCATACCCTACCTTATTGCATTTAGTTCAACTCTCTCCTGTGAGTTAGAGGTCAGATCTAGTATGAGAGAGAGATGGAATATTTGTGTTGATGCCCATCCAAATTGGAAAATGACAACAAAGAAATGATCATACCCTACCTTATTGCATTTAGTTCAACTCTCTCCTGTGAGTTAGAGGTCAGATCTGGTATGAGAGAGAGATGGAATATTTGTGTTGATGCCCATCCAAATTGGAAAATGACAACAAAGAAATGATCATACCCTACCTTATTGCATTTAGTTCAACTCTCTCCTGTGAGTTAGAGGTCAGATCTAGTATGAGAGAGAGTTGTGTTGATGCCCATCCAAATTGGAAAATGACAACAAAGAAATGATCATACCCTACCTTATTGCATTTAGTTCAACTCTCTCCTGTGAGTTAGAGGTCAGATCTGGTATGAGAGAGAGATGGGATATTTGTGTTGATGCCCATCCAAATTGGAAAATGACAACAAAGGGGGAGTAATAAATAAACTGGGCCCACTTGGCGGAATGTTCACACGAAATACACGCATTGAAGAGGAATGGGAAGCTGCAGATACAACAAATTGTACCTGCAAATACAATGAAAAAAACATAATCTGCAAGTACAATAAAAATAAAATTGAGATGTAACATATTGCACCTGAAAGTGAAATGAAAATATATATAAGATACAATATATTTGCAAGTACAATCGAAATGTACATAAGGTAAAAAATAACCTCCAAGTACAACGGTAATAAACATAAGATACAACATATTGTACCTGCAAGCATGGAAGATGGAAATATACATACGATACAAAATATATGTATCAACAACTACAATGAAACTATACATAAAATGCAACAGATTTTACCTGCATGTAGATTGAAAATATAACATAAAAACAATAGATTGTACTAACTCGAAAATATACATGTGCATAAGTTTGTGATCTCATCAATCAAGGGCATCATGGCGTAGAGTGCAGTGTTTGTTAGTTGAAGAGTTGCATAATGGCATGATAATGTAATCTGATCTCATTAATTGTCCATTAAGATCACAATAACTGTATCGTACCTAATGTTTTTTCTAGATCATGTGAACGATGCGCTAATTGCTTGTTCAAAGGGTTATTGAATAAGAATTTTTATTTGATCTCATCAACTACCCGTTAACATCATAATTACTGTACCTAATGTTTTTTTGTAGAGTATGTCAACTATTTGCTAATTGTTTGAAAGGGTTATTGGATAAGAATTTTAATTTGATCTCATCAATTTTCCATTAACATCGTAAATACTGTACCTAATGTTTTATTCTAGAGAATGTCAACTACAGGGTGGTATATGTCAATTGTTTGAAAGGGTTATTGGATATGAATTTCAATTTGATCTCATCAACTGCCCATTAACATCGTCATTATGGTACCTAAGGTTTTTTCTAGGGCATAGCTACTTCGTTGAATAGGATATAATATCTCACCAAGCAAATGCCAACTTTTTCTTTTCCCATATCCGCAAAATCCATTTGTTCTATCTGACTCGAATCCGATAAATGGTGTAAAAACTGCATCACTGACTTGTCCAATCAACATCAAGTTCCCAGCAAGGACATTGTTAAATCCGATAACAAAATGAAGGTACACAAGTAGGTAACTGAACCACATTGATGCGAGGAGGTCGTTTAACACGTGGCCGACACCATACGACAACTTTGTCACCCATGGTAGCTTTTGTGACCTTTGATCACTCATCATGGGTTTCAATCTCAATGATCTTAAAAGAAGCTACTCACACCAAGCTTCCTGTAAACAGAAAACAGACGTTAATACTAAGTAGAAAATAACCTCCTAACCATAAATTCCATCGTTTTATATGAAAAATGGTATGGTACATATAGTTTTAAAAAAAATAAGGAAAGCAATATAACATTAGATTCCTGGAGAATGGTGGTAGGTTGACAAGTCTGTAAAAATATTTGTAGACCTTCAAAGACATTTAACCATATGATTCTGAGAATATAGACCAGCGTTTTTTTTCTTGTTCAACGCAGCAGAAGTAATACGAAACCTCAAACATATCAATAAAGAAGACGTGACTGCCAATAAATCCTAAATAGTACGAGGAGTATGTGGTGTCTTTTGGACATCGCTGATATGTATAGCAAGAGATGGAGATTTGAGTTCCATCCGGGAAAATGTGTAGTTCTTAGGTTTGGTCCAAACAAAAATGTTATTTGTGAATGCAAATTAGGAGGTGAAATTCTTTAAATAGAAAGAGCTGTTTCAGATGTTGGCATACCTTTAGGCAAAAGTTCAGATCACGCATCAAATTTGATAAAACCACTCGGATGGCTAGTATCTGTTAAAGCGCGAATCGATGTACAATGTTCACATGTAATACACGCATTGAAGAGGTATGGAAAGCTGCAGATACAACAAATTGTACCTGCAAAAACAATGAAAAAACATAATATACAACATATTATATCTGCAAGTACAATAAAAATTAAACATGAGATGTAACATATTGTACCTGAAAGTGAAATGAAAATATGTATAAGATACAACATACCTGCAAGTATGATCAAAATGTACATAAGGTACAAAAAGGAGGAAGTCGACATGGACATCTATGAAGTTCAGAGGAAGAAAATATGGAATTTTATAACTCTGAGAGGAATAATACATGGAAACTTCCAATTTTGAGAGGAAATTGACATGGAAAAAATGCTCAAAAAGGGGGTCTTTGGCGCGGCACATAGGTATTAAGAGGTATATTGGAATGAACCCCCCGGGACAGAACGTCAGACTTTTGTCAGCAATAACCCATGGCAAAATTACAACGTCGGAGAAACGTTTTCTTTACATCATATTTCAACTCTCACTCTCAATTACCACGTTAAGTTCATCTGTGTGAGCCAACATATGCCTGTGCCTCCACCGATCAGTATTTAAAGTTACCACAACTCGAGGCATACATGTATATTCGTTATATATTTAACATTTACTTCACGTCACAAATTAAACGAATTTGTTGAGACCACAACGTCTTTGTCACGTTCTTTTTCACATACATGTATATGTATTTTTCACGTTTAAACCCCGTTTCGTCAACGTCAAAATTAACTGTTTCGACAACGTTGCAAATAAACCAATTTCGTGAGGACATAGCGTCTTTTTGTAACGTTTCCTGCACTTACAAATATTTTTTTACATTTCAATTGAAAACACGTTTCGACAACGTTGAAATTAACCGTTTGCACTACGTTGAAAATGAACCATTTTGGTCAGAAAATGACGTCTTTGTAACGTGTGTTACAATTACAAATATTTTTCACATTCAAACCATGTTTTGACAACGTTACAATTAGCCATTTTCACTACGTGGCAAATGAACCAATTTGGTGGGAAAACAAGGACTTTGTAACGTTTCCTAGACTTACAATTATCTTTCACATTTAAAACACGTTACGACAACGTCAAATTTTACTGTTTATATTACGTAGCAAATGTAACAATTTGGTGAGAACTGCAACGTCTTTGTAACGTTTTCTACACTTACAAATATCTTTCACATTTAAAACACGTACGTTACGACAACGTCAAATTTTACCGTTTACATTACGTAGCAAATGTACCAAATTTGGTGAGAACGCAACGTCTTTGTAACGTTTTTTACACTTACAAATATCTTTCACATTTAGAACACGTTACGACGACATCAAATTTTACCGTTTATATTACGTAGCAAATGAAACAATTTGGTGAGAAGTGCAACGTCTTTGTAACGTTTTCTACACTTACAAATATCTTTCACATTTAAAACACGTTACGACAACGTCAAATTTTACCGTTTACATTACGTAGCAAATGTACCAAATTTGGTGAGAACACAACGTATTTGTAACGTTTTTTACACTTACAAATATCTTTCACATTTAGAACACGTTACGACAACATCAAATTTTACCGTTTATATTACGTAGCAAATGAAACAATTTGGTGAGAAGTGCAACGTCTTTGTAACGTTTTCTACACTTAGAAATATCTTTCACGTTTAAAACACGTTACGACAACGTCAAATTTTACCGTTTACATTACGTAGCAAATGTACCAAATTTGGTGAGAACACAACGTCTTTGTAAAGTTTTCTACACTTACAAATATCTTTCACATTTAAAACACGTTACGACAACGTCAAATTTTACCGTTTATATTACGTAGCAAATGAAACAATTTGGTGAGAACTGCAACGTCTTTGTAATGTTTCCTGCACTTACAAATATTTTACACATTTAAAAAACGTTACGACAACGTTAAATTTTACCGTTTATATTACGTAGCAAATGAAACAATTTGGTGAGAAGTGCAACGTCTTTGTAACGTTTTTTACACTTACAAATATCTTTCACGTTTAAAACACGTTACGACAACGTCAAATTTTACCGTTTACATTACGTAGCAAATGTACCAAATTTGGTGAGAACACAACGTCTTTGTAACGTTTTCTACACTTACAAATATCTTTCACATTTAAAACACGTTACGACAACGTCAAATTTTACCGTTTATATTACGTAGCAAATGAAACAATTTGGTGAGAAGTGCAACGTCTTTGTAACGTTCTCTACACTTACAAATATCTTTCACGTTTAAAACACGTTACGACAACGTCAAATTTTACCGTATACATTACGTAGCAAATGTACCAAATTTGGTGAGAACACAACGTCTTTGTAACGTTTTCTACACTTACAAATATCTTTCACATTTAAAAAACGTTACGACAACGTCAAATTTTACCGTTTATATTACGTAGCAAATGAAACAATTTGGTGAGAACTGCAACGTCTTTGTAATGTTTCCTGCACTTACAAATATTTTACACATTTAAAAAACGTTACGACAACGTTAAATTTTAACGTTTATATTACGTTGCAAATGAACCAAACTGGTAAAAAGTCAACGTCATTGTTACGTTTTTCACACCAGCACAAATTTCGAACTTCACTAACACATTACTACAACGTCATTTTTTAACCATCCACCGACGTTTTGCTGAATGTCACAATTTTACGTTACTTTGACGTTTATATAACGGAAATATACAACGTCTCCAGTGAACTTATATACCACATATGAGTGACGTTACATGGACGTCACTGTTTGCTGGGAAGTACTGTGGAAATAAACATAAGATATTAGTGATAATGCAATCTCTCAGATAAGCCTTAATTAAGCTGTTTCCTCCTGTTCATCCTCCAATTGTTTTGATGAGTTTAAATGATAAAATACATATTCCTGCATACGTTTTCACTTGTTGAGCACTTGTCAACATTACCATTTACTTATTATTGAGGGATTTAACAGGGGTCCACAAAAAATGAAAAATATTCGATTTTGATATTTTTGAAGTTTACAACAGATTATCTACTTATGAATCGGTTTTTTGGGATGGTTATAAGCATGACATATTGATTTTATCTGTTTAATTGAACATAAAATCACCTGTCTGACTATATTTTGCATTTAAAATGATTAAAATTAATTGTTCCGTTTAGTTCACTTTCTTTTATTGTCATCTTGTTTTTGTTGATCCGCCAATTGTTTTGATATGTTTAAATGATAAAACATATATTCCTACATACGTTTTCACATGTTGAGCACTTGTCAACATTACCATTTACTTATTATTGAGGGGTTTGACAGGGGTCCACAAAAATACAAATATTAGATTTTGGTATTTTTGAAGTCGGCTTTTGGAAAGTTTACTAGTATAACAAATTGATTTTATCTCGATGTACATTAGATGTTCAAGAGACCAATAAACTTATTTATTATTTATTGAGGGGTTTAACAGGGGTTCACAAAAAAATATAAAAAATATAAGATTTTGATATTTTTGAAGTTTTTTTGGAAAGGTTATTAATATTAGTATGCCATATTGATTTTATCTGTTTAATTGAAACTAAGATCGTCTGTTTGACTATATTTTGCATTCAAAATGATAAAAAATAATGGTTCCATTTAGTTCACTTTCTTTTAACATCATCTTGTTTTTCGTTGATCTGCGTTGTTAATGATATGTTTAAATGATAAAACATATATTCCTACATACGTTTTCACCCGTTGAGAACCTGTCAACATTACCGTTTACTTATCATTGAGGGGTTTAACAGAGGTCCATAATAATGAAAAATATTAGATATTGACACTTTCGAAGTTAACAACGAATTTTCCACTTATGAATCGGCTTTTGGAAAGGTCATTAGCATGACATATTGATTTTATATTTTTAATTGAAAATAATATCTTCTGTCTGACTATATTTTGCATTCAACATGATTAAAAATAATGGTTCCATTTAGTTCACTTTCTTTGAACACTGTTTTTGAATTGTTTCTGCCTTTATCCTATGCCAAGTGGAGTTTTAGGGTGATAATTTGGTAAGATATATCCCGTATCCTGATTTTGAGGTTTCCATATCCAGAACCTCCATATCTCCCGCTTCGGTGCATATCTTCCCGCTCCCGGTGCATATCTCCCTGCTTCCGGTAATGCAATAAAAGGACTTAGCATATGAATGATTTGTTTATTTTTACACCTTGTACTATTGAAATGGCCATATGCCCCTGACAACTCTACTTGGTATAGGATAAAGCAGT